TGTACCTCAGTCAATCGATGCTCGAAGTTGTCGTTCGCCATGTTGACTCCACACTGAGTTTCGGGCTGAATCGACAAGAATAAGAAACTTGTGTCACCCCTACAGTTGACTAATCAGCCGATAAAACCCTAGCCGAACACCAAAACGAACAAAAACATCACAAAATGTTGTTATAATATGAACTGCACAAATTGTTCTGAACTGTTTCGGTTGGGAAGCATGCGGCCGCCTTTAATCAGCACGGAAGTTGCACATTTATCCGGGTTGGGCTGCCTTGGGGTGCGGCAACGCGGTAATTATCAGGGTTACCACAGGTTTGAGCCTCGGGCTGCCGTGGTTCATCGACTCTGGCCGACGTTACGCAGCGCATGTGCGCTTTACCAAGTCACGACAGGTGTTCTGTTGTTTTGGACTTGCTGTTCCTTGTGTGAGTTCTGACATTTCAGGCTCGCAAGGTAAGTATTGTTCTTGGAACTATGTGGTCTATTGAATTGGGTTGCAGTGGCAGCGTGTCAGCGCGCATAGCCAAGTTGCAGCAGGTTCTGGTTCCCGATATGGAGATCTGACAGTTCAGGCTTCATGAGGCTCTGACAGTTCAGGCTTCTCAGGTAAGTATTAGGGGGAAAAGGTGTCTTCTGTAACCCCTTTTTGGAGCCGGTGGAACCTGTGTGTGCTTGGGCCACTGTAGGCATCCTAGTTCGGTAGGTACCCTCTGAGCTGGCTTGGGGCGTGATTGTATGTCCCTATAGTATGTTACACCGAGTGACTGACTGAAAGGGATAGTAAAGTGATGAAAATAACTACTGTTCCCTGAAGGAGGAAAAAATAACTACTGTTCCCTGAAGGAGGAAAAAAGAACTACTGTTCCCTGAAGGAGGAAACAAGGCATTACATATTTTGGCCCCGCATCGTCAGGGGGTTTGGGCTCACTAAAGAGCGGTACTGAATTGAGGAAACGAATGCGAGCCCCGGTATTATAGGCAGGAAGTGGGGCTTCTGAGGGCGGGCTCTGCATCCATTGGCTTATTGGGCGTGATATTAGTTTTCTTCAGGTGAATATGATTGGTTGTTCACTCCCCATAGTATGTTATACCTCGTTCCCTCCTTCAGGGAACAGTAGTTATATTCATAACTGTACATTTTGAATGACGTCTTTTACTTCTTGTCTTCTGTAAAAATGAGACCAAACATAAAAAAAAGTTGTATTAAGAAGAACATTAATCAAATCTTTAAGTAGAAGTTTCAAACTTCCAGATTTGGTTGCCAACGAGCAACTCAGATACCCATGGTTATTATGCTCATTTTTATTGTAACGACAGGCTTGTCTCCAAACTTTTATTTATATCTGGCATCCCAGTTTTTAGTAGGGATATAATATGGTGAGGTTGAATCATTTCCAATCAAGCCTACGTTCTAAAGGAATAAACATGAGAAAACAGAACTCAGTCAATGATTTGTCAGTCAGCTGGTCAAAAGAACAAGTTGCATAACATTATAAAATGTTCCTTTCTACAGCAACTGAATGGGTCGGAGTGACAAGACATTCTTATGCGTCTTGTTTGAGTCAGACGTTCCGGTGGAGTTGGCCAGTGCATCCTTGCTGACGTGACAGTATTCTTCCTAGACTGAAGACTTGCCCAGTTTGTCATGGCTGGCACCAATAGCAGTGGTCGCTGTATACAGTGCCTTCGGAAAGTATTCAGAACCCTTGACTTTTTCCACATTTTGTTACGATACGGCCTTATTCTAAAATGGATTTTAAAAAAAAAATATGCTCAGCAATCTACACACAATACCCCATAATGACAAAGTGAAAATATGTTTTTAGAAATACCCTTTGCTATGAGACTGGAAATTGAGCTAAGGTCCATCCTGTTTCCATTGATCATCCTTGAGAGTTTTCTACAACTTGATTGGAGTCCACCTGTGGTAAATTCAATTGATTGGACATGATTTGGAAAGGCACACATCTGTCTATATAAGGTCCCACAGTTGACAGCGCATGTCAGAGCAAAAACCAAGCCATGAGTTCGAAGGAATTGTCCGTAGAGCTCCGAGACAGGATCGTGTCGAGGCACAGATCTGGGGAAGGGTACCAAAACATTTCTGCAGCATTGAAGGTCCCCAAGAAGACGGTGGCCTCCATCATTCTTAAATGAAAAAATTTGGAACCACCAAGACTCTTCCTAGAGCTGGCCGCCCGGCCAAACTGAGCAATCGGGGGAGAAGGGCCTTTGCAGGGAGGTGACCAAGTACCCAATGGTCACTCTGACATAGTTCTAGAGTTCCTCTGTGGAGATGGGAGAACCTTCCAGAAGGACAACCATCTCTGCAGCACTCTACCAATCAGGCCTTTATGGTAGAGTGGCCAGACGGAAGCCACTCCTCAGTAAAAGGCAAATGACAGCCCGCTTGGAGTTTGCCAAAAGGCACCTAAAGACACTCAGACCATGAGAAATAAGATTCTCTGGTCTGATGAAACCAAGATTGAACTCTTTGGTCTGAATGCCAAGCGTCACGTCTGGAGGAAACCTGGCACCATCCCTACAGTGAAGCATGGTGGTGGCAGCATCATGCTGTGGGGATGTTTTTCAGCGGCAGCGACTGGGAGACTAGTCAAGATCGAGGGGAAAATGAAAGGAGCAAGTACAGAGGGATCCTTGATGAAAACCTGCTCCAGAACGCTCAGGACCTCAGACTGGGACGAAGGTTCACCTTCTAACAGGACAACGACCCTAAGCACACAGCCAAGACAACGCAGGAGTGGCTTCGGGACAAGTCTCTGAATGTCCTTGAGTGGCCCAGCCAGAGCCCGGACTTGAACCCGATCTAACATCTCTGGAGAGACCTGAAAATAGCTGTGCAGCGATGCTCCCTATCCAACCTGACAGAGCTTGAGAGGATCTGCAGAGAAGAATGGGAGAATCTACTCAAATACAGGTGTGTAGCGTCATACCCAAGAAGACTTCAGGCTGTAACCGCTGCCAAAGGTACTGAGTAAAGGGTCTGAATGTAAATGTGATATTTCCGTGTGTTGTTTTTTTTTTTGGGGGGGGGGGGGGGGGAAATGTTTGGAAAGGCCATAACTTAACAAAATGTGAAAAAGTAAAGCGGTCTGAATACTTTCTGAATACACTGTATATTATTTTTATTTTTCATTGTTTAAATGTTTTTAAGGCACTATACAAAAAAAACTCAATATTTGAGGTTCATTCAATTAGAAACATCTCAAGAACAAATGCAACATTTAAAATATCAATTAAGGTTCATACACTTCAGATTAATTCAAATATGTTTGACTTTGTACTTTTGGACAAACTGCAAGACTGTCTTGCAGTAAAACAGGTTGTAATATATACAACATAAAGTCAATAAACTTTCAGACAAACTGCAATGAAGATTAACTCATTATAAATCATCTGAAAAGAAGATGGGCTATACAGTGTGCACAATCATTAAAGATGATTGGACAGAAAACTGTGGCATTCTGTTTATTACATCATGACTTTAATAAAAGTTATATGTCAGTGCTTAGGATATAATTTGCAGTATATAGTGCAATATGATGCATTTGATGTGAAATCTGTTAGAAACAGTATTTTATTACACATTTCTCATAATTCAATGTTATTAATGACAACACAAGAAACATAATAGTTTTCCATCATTCTAAAATGCAGTTTGGATTGAGACACATCAAATCAACAGTATATACTTATGTATCACTAGAGCAATGCTTTTTCGAGCTACTAATTCATAACTACGCAAGAAAAATATTTATTGTTTAATAAAGATGTTTTCACATTCATTTTATACATTGTTGGATGCATTTACAGTTCATTTTGGTTGTGTTTCAGATTATTTTCTGCCCAATAGAAATGAATGGTAAATCATGTATTGTATTTTCACTTTTATTGTAAATAAGAATAGAATATGTTTCTAAACACTTAATGTGGATGCTACAATGATTACAGATGATCCTGAATGAATCGTTAATAATGATGAGTGAGAAAGTTACAGAGGGTCAAAGATCATACCCCCAAGACATGCTAACCTCCCCTGTTATTGGTAATGGTGAGAGGTTAGCATGTCTTGGGGGTATGATCTTTGACCCTCTGTACCTTTCTCACATGAATTCTCAAATGCATCCAACAAGTTTGTAGAGTCACAAGCTTGATGTAGTCATTGTGTGCGATGAATATGGGACCAAATACTAAACTTCTGACTACTTTATTTATAAGACTCTTTAGGGGTGTCAATAATTTTGACCCATTCCTTCTTTTTTTGATCAATTGTATTAGTATAAAATAATTTTTTTTGAGCATACGATATAGCTCTGTATTTGAAATATTTATTTTTTACAGTCATTATTGCTCATCTTTATCAAGGGTGTCAATAAGTTCAGGACCCACTGTATATAGCATTACTCTCAGATCAAGGCATCCTAACTAGTGCTTAACTAGTGCTTAACTAGTGCTTAACTAGTGCCTAACTCGTGCAGGTTGCATGTGGTACAAATCACATTGTGGGAGCACCTCTGAGTATGAATTAGGCTGTTTGAGAAGGTTTGCGTCATAAACCTGCAATACACATTGTTTTAAGTACAATAGACCAACATTGCTACTGTATTAGTTCAAAGCTATGTGCTGGAAAACCTTAGTAGAGCATGGGTGAAGGTAGGCCTGGTGATGCTCATGTGAATTCCCTTTCCTTTTCTGCTTCAGAACAATCCCTACTTCTCACTTAGAATGTGTTTTTGTGTTTAATTATCCTAAAAGGTCATCCATCCAGCTATTGTCAGATGCAGACGTTGCAGTCACTGTGGTTGTTGCAGTGTTTCCACCGATAGGATCCAGAAATCCATCCATGAACGTATCGGGATTGCTTGGTGCAGAAGATGGCGGCATTACAGGCTCTGAAGAGAAGGTATCATCAGTAAATAGACTATGGTTCTGTGCAGAAGCAACAGGGGTGGTGGCAATTTCTGGAGTCTCTAACCCTAGGAAATCAACAAAGGTGTTGGAGTTGGAATTGGTTTGACTGGGCTTCTCTGTCACAGTGTCTCCACTCACTGAATTATTACTCATCCCAAAGATGTCATCAGAAAAGGTGGAAGGATCCGTGAAGGGGTCTGTTCCGTCTTGGCCAAACACATTGGAAGCAGGTGATTGAGCAGGGAAACTAACACTACTCTCTGTGCCGAATATGTCAAAATCAATGTCGTTCGACACTGCCTGGGTTGGTGTGGGTGTGCTCAAATCGAAAATATTTTGGCCCTGCATCTCAGTGTGATCTTGTTCAGTGGTATTGGTTTCATCCTGCCCTGCTTGGTCAGGGACTATAAGCTCGTCACCAATCCCGAATATATCTTGATTCTCTGTAGATTTCAGTTGTGACCCTAACATGCTGAAGGAATCAGCAGCAGGAGCATTGGCAGTGAGAAAAGCATGGCTCAGAGATACTGTTGATGACGATGTGTCTCCTGAGATGTTGATGAATATCTCCTCTTGAGGTTGTGGTGGACCAAAAGGATTGGGAGGTTCTTGAGAAACCTCTCCACCCAGATTAAAAAGCCCTCCTTCGCTGAGATTGTTTTCTTCTACCCCCAGCTCGCCAAACATCTGATTCATGAGGTTGAGAGATGAGTCTGGGTTTGTCTGAGTGGACAGTGGGACAGAATTTACACCATTTCCAAAAGGGTCGTCAACTGTGTCCCAAAGTGATCCAGGAACTGGATGGGATACGTCGTCACCACTCTTAGAAGTTAAAGTCTGATCGGTTGAGGCCTCTAATATCTTATCAGTAACTGTCATCTCTGTATCGTTCACAACGGTGGCACTAGAATTGAGATCACTGGAGACCGGCATAACAGTGTCGATAATTGACAGGCTTTCAACTTCGCTTCTCTGTGACGTTGGCTCGGGGTCACCGAATGGATTCATATCCTCAGCATCCACCACAGCGCTGATATATCCAGAGGCAAGCAGATTAGGCTCTACAGGAGATAAAATGTCACCTGTGAAATCAGGGACAGTCAAAGGAACTGTAGACTCAAGTGATGGGAGGGTGTCTGTGGTATTACTTTCAATTAGAACACTGTTAAATGGATTGAGGTCTGCAGAAAGGGAGTTTTCAATGACATCGCTTACACCCTCTGGTTGTTCCAAAAGTGAGGGTTTAACTAGGTCACCACCTTTTCCTTTTTCTGTATCAAATGCCTCATCCTTCACACCTTCAACGTGTTTCTCTTCTGTCTGAACATTCACCGTTTCTTTCCTTTCATCTTCTGTGTCTGTTTTGGTCTCTTGAGTTTTCTTCATTTCCTGTCCTTTATCTGGTGATGATTGGAACAGTTTTCCCAAGATGCTCCTGGGTTTGGCGTCAGGTTTCTTCTTATCCGTAGCTTCAGCCTTGCTGTTTTTTTCATTTCCACCAGACGTGAAAAGTTTGGACAAAGGACTTTTTCGATTAGACCAGGATCCTCCCTTTTTCATTGGTGTCTTCTCATTCTGCCTGTTAACAGAGCTCTTCAAAGAGTTGGATCTCACCACACCCTTCGACTGGTCAATGGTCGTCTCCTGCTGTTTTACTTGATCACTGCTATCAACTTGATTTTCATTATTTGTACGATTCTTCTCCTCGAGGTTCGGCTCGCTTTCCTTTACCTTTTGATCCACGGAATCAAATGGTTCCAATTGTTCTGCTCCAATGTCCGTCTTCCCTGCAGGTTCTGGGAGACCAACTGTTTTCACCTCAGGAGTTGAATGATCATTTACTTGGACAACATGTGGTTCATTTACACTCTCACTGCTTGTGTTGACAGCCACTGGAACCTCGAACTGTGGGTTCTCCTGGCTGATACCAATACCTGCATGTTCTGAAACAGATGCTTGAGGACTGTCAACGTGTTCACCATTGAGTCCTTCCATTTTCTCATGGTAATTGTATTCATAGGGATCTGTCATTTTTTCATGGGAATTATACTGACGTGGATTGTTAATCGCCTCACTTTGTACTTCTCTTTCCTCTGCTTCAACTGACGAATGGTCTTGCTTCATTTTTATCCTGTTATCTATCCCCTCAATAGAAGCATAACCTGGGTGACCATTTTGATTCTCATTTTCTGTATCTGAATTCAACTCAGAGGCAGATGGACTGTCCTCTGTGTCCAGATCGTCATCAAGGCTTGGTGAAAACCGAACATACTTTTTAGTTTTGCCCGGAGAATCAGTCTTCCCATCAGAAATCGAATTGTATTTATTTATTGCTGACGGCGATGAGTTAACCTGCTCTGTTTTCTGTTTTGTGGTGGTGACTGAGCTTCCTGGCACTGTACGAGATGAAGAGACAACCGTTTTCACCGTTGTCACTGTTTCCTGTTGAAAGAGGGCTCTTTTGGATGAAACACTCCATGGTCTGACCTTCTCTGTACAAGGTGTCTCAGGTGAGTCAATCACATCTGTTTTGGATATTTCCCTCCTTCTTGAAGGTGTAGCAATAGAGTGCATCTTGTCCTGTCCTGAAAGCACCTCTTTCCTTACTTCAACCTGGTTGCTCTTTGGTGTATTTTTCCCTGCTAGGTTTTCTGATCTATGATTAATCAACGACCTTTCCTGAGTTGATGTGTCGGTAACTGGAACGCTTGGTCTCGGTGTCCTTGGCGTGTTGACCTGCTGTGCACCTGGACGACTAACCCCTGTCCATTTCTTCTCTGGTGGCCAACTATGCTTCAGCTTGTTCCTGCTCTCAGGACTACTGTTACTAATAGGTTCCCTGACTGACTTTGGAATTAGAGACAACACACCTGCAGAGGGCTCTGCTAAACCATCGACAAAATTACCAACTGTCATGTTAGCTTTAGAGCCTTTAGACCTTGTAGAGCCTTTGGGGGTCTTCTTGTCATTCTTGTTATCTGGTTCAGGTTCTTGGGGTTTTGGAAGCCAGCGATCTTTGTGTTGTTTGTGCCCAAACCCCTCATCATAATTTCCCTTCCTTTTAAAAAGCTGGTCGTAGTGGGAAATGCAGTAGAATTCTCCGTAAAGAGATGAATAGTTTCGAATGCTGCAATGAAGTCAAAAACAAACATATATATATATATAGTGATGTTGTAGGCCTTTTAGAAATTATAAATGGACAATTTTTTTTGTTTTTGTTTGCTTGATTTAGTTTCTCATTCCTTTTTAAAATGATTTAGAATGGCGTCAATTAGAAATAGATTTTGAGAATTCACACATTAAAGATCATAGGTGGTTGCATATCTCATGTAACGGTAAATTCTATATTTGTTGATTGATGGATTTTGCATTGGATAATATACTGGTATCGCAGGAAACATCTCACCTGAGCTTCTTTTTACAATGTTTGCAGCAGAAGCAGTTGTTGTGAAGCACCAGCTTATTGGCCACCATTTTCTCCATGGGGTAGACAGGGGTCAGGCAGGCGGAGCATATCTCCTTCTCAGGCGACTGGAACTATGATGATAGCAACAATGTGATGATGATTGTACTGTTATACCATATATTTACACAGTTTTTCCACTAAATGCATAGATACTGTAAGTGTTCATCATTTGCTGCACTGAAAGTGGACTGTGAGCATGTAATCAGAGAGTTGTGTTGCATTTAAATTGAGTTCGGCAATGTTGTGATAGTGTTGGTGATCGTTCCCAAAATAGAGCAAACAGTGTTCCATAAAACATATCTGGACAGAAGGAAGTATGAGAAATATCCACACGAGCGTCTGCTAAATGACTAAAATGTAAATGTAAAATGTAAATATCAATATTTAATACAATATTTATTGATAATTTACACAACAGAAAATATATCAAACATATTGCAATTATTTGATAAAAGGACTAAACATTTGACTATGGTTACAGTTCAAAAGTCCATGAGACCCAATTTAACACCAATACTGTTAAGTCTATTACAAATCTTTTAATAATTATGATAACATCATCTGCAGCTAAGAATAAATATGTATATGACATAATTAACTAAATGGGTCCTACTGGATACAACATGTGGGTTACAATAATACATCAAGGAAATTATTTGTCATACCATGCAACATTTAAATTTGCCATTTCAACGTTTTCCAGCTTTTGGTTGACCAAATGTTACAAAAACTGTACCACCCTCTTTGGCGTTGGACTGAGCATTTTCTGAAAAGGGATGACCGGACCTTTGCATGAGAGGGGATGTCACGACTTCATACCTAGTTGGAGTGGCGACTACTCCAAACTTCTCAGACTGCTTCGTGACAAACGTCGAAGTCTTTGACGAGACAAATGTGTTGCCGAAGCAGTCCATCTCCTCGTATTTCTCACTGACAGTCTTTGTGCCGATGATTCCGCCAGGAACAGACTCGGGAACAGTTTGCACCTCCAGTACGCTGACCTTTCGTCTTGGACTAGCAGGACTGTAGAAGTGGTTTGGGGAATCAGAGGCAGATCGTTGACCCAGGTCACCATTGGCTCCACGGGAGCTTGGGGAAGGACACCCCTCTGGATTCGGCTTGAATGATGAGAACTGTGGCTGTGGTGACTTTGGCTGTTCTGCAGGCTTCCTGGCAGCCGAGTGAATGGAGATGAATGATGGCGAGGACGGGGAGGTGGAGCATTGTTTGATTTGGGACTTGTCAAGTACCGGAGAGAGTGATGCTGGCTCTGATCTTTTTGACGATCCTGATACACCTTTTGTTTTCACCTCAGATGTCTCCTTAGCTTGTTCTGTTTTGGCCTTAGCGGCCTTGCTGGATGCGATACTGATTTTTCTTATGTTGTTGGTGGGTTGATAGCTTTGCTCGGTCTGCAAGGATTCGTTAAAGAGTCCTGATAAACCTGCGATATCAGCCTCAGATTTTAAATTGGATACAGAATACAAAGCCTTTCTGATCGCCTCCTCTATGTCAATAAGTTTTGCTAACGTCTGCTCTTTCAAATGCATTATCTCTTTGCTTGCCTTTTCTAGGTCTCCAAACACAGTCTCTACCGAAGATCCACTTTCCATATCATTGCTCACTGACTCTATTTCAACTTTCTTTTCCACTTTTGTGTGACTTTGCTGTGTATGTTTACAAGGCGTGACTATCCAAGCAGGTACATTCTCGAATAAGCTCTTTAATGAACTGACATCCACTTCCCTGGTCTCTCCCTCTATCTCTTGAACCTGAGACAGGATTGTCTTGAGTTCCTCTCGTTTCCTCAGATTCTCGAATATCTCCATCGCTGCCTTCACGTTCCCTCTCATGATGTCATCTTTGTGAACAGACAGCCTCTGACGTCGCTGGTCCTCTGTCTCTACATTTCCTTTCTTCTTCCTCAGAACTACTTTGTCCTCCAGTTTCTGGTGTTTCTCCTCCCGGCAGCTTGTCACTGTTATGGATGCTCCTCCTGGCAGCTTGTCACTGTTAGGTTGGATAATTGGAAGTCTATCTGTTGCGGTTGGGGAGTAGGGTTCTTGGAGATCTGTATTGCAGCCCTGATTGTGAATATCTGTTCTCCCCTGCTGCACAGTGGGGGGGTTTCTCCCCTGCTGCACAGTGGGGGGGTTTCTCTCCTGTTGCGTGGTGGTGATTTTTGTGATCTGTTTTTCCTGGCTGACCTTTTCCCTAATCACTTTGATCTTATTTGGCAGCACAGGGGCTGTGTCCACAACATTCTTCTCCTTCCCCCCGAAGTTTTGGATTGCGACCTGAAAGCCCATGTTTATTTCCTGTTGTGCATTACCATCTTCTGTGTAGCTCTGCATGCACATTCGGATCTCTTTTGCTGCATTGATTTTCTGTATTACGTTTCTGTCGATCTCCTTTTCAGTGCCGTTTGACATGGCCAAACTATGGTCAACTGCTATTGTTTGAGTTTCCAATGTTGTTCCAATGTTTTTCTGTTCCCTCTTTTGCTTTAGCTGAACTGACTTTTTGTCCTCAGCTGGGATGTTATTGGTAGCACTGGCCTGAGGTAAGTATTGCTTTGCTTTATTAATAAATGTCCTATTGCCTGTTTCATTGGAGGCCAGTTTGGGTTGTGAATCCTTTGTGGTTTGTTGTCTATTTGATGAAGGTTTCTGAGGCAGAGGAGGGGGAGATGGGTTCCCTGTTTTCATTTTTGGGGGAATGACTGGGCTCTGCTGGTTACCTTTGATCGGGCTAGGTGTTTTTGGAGGAGGGGTATTCTCTGTTGCATCGCCGGGTGTTTGTTTTAAGCGTTGTGGTTTCGGTGGTAGAGCCGGCTTCTGGTATTGTGTTTTTTCATTTGCTTTGGGAGGCAGTGGAGGTGGCCTTAGGGCTTCTGTGGAGGGCGTTTGAGGGTTTTCATCAAGATTTGTAAGAGTGACAGTTGCCGAAGTCTGTGCTGCGATGGCTGGCGGTTCGCCAAGAGTTACTGAAACCGAAGGAGACAATTCAGTGTCAGATGGAGGCATAGATACTGTAACAACCTGATTTTTCACAGTCGCTGCATCCCTTTTCTTACTGCTCCCTGCACAAGCTTTACCTGAGTTCCTGTATATCATGGCAGCTTTATAGTCTCCTTTGGACACATTTACACTAGACTTTTCAAGATATTGCAGCGCCATCTGCATGTTACCTCTTACAATTTCCTCTTTGTCTACTGGTGGTCTCTGCTCCGTCGCAGCACTGTGCAGAGACCTAATAGCAGCTTTTACATCTCCTCTCACCACTTCTGCTTCTGCCTCTTCTGTCCCTATCCTCTCAATATCACCATACTCTGAGTTTACATAAGGGTGGGTTTGTGCTTGTATGCTGCCGGAGACTGCTGGCGGTGAATCCGCTGCGCTAACATGTATTACATCTGAACTCCTTGATACGTAGCCCTGTTGGCAAGCCTCAATTGTCTCCTGATCTCTTTCTGCGTCACTGACCTTTCGGAAAGTCGTCGTGATCCGCTGGCTTCTGGAGGTTGACGAAGACGCAGACTGCCTCACTGTCGTGGAGCTCTGTTCTTGAGATGAGATGTTGACATTGTATATTTTGCCTGGGACGATGATGTCACGCTCCACACACAGACTCTGGTTCTTTGCCAGCTCAAGGGACTGCTTCGCTGCCTTCACATCTCCCGATACTATTTCCTCTTTCTGTGTCTGGTTTCCCTCTGATTCCAGCCCCTGTGTTGCTAGATCCATGTCATAGATAGTTCCCGGGGTTATGACTTCGCGCTCCACGTGCATACTCTGCTGCTTTGCACGTTCTAAAGACTGCAGAGTAGCTTTGATGTCACCGGCCACAATCTCCTCCTTTTCCACTGAGAGAGTGTGTTTTAAAGCAAGTTGCTGCTTAGCTGAGGAGATATCCCCACGGATGATCTCTTCTTTAGAAATGCAGTTTTCAACACTAAGGTCAATGGAGCCCTCCGTTGAAAAGACTCTTTTGGCGTTCTTCACATCCCCCGGTAAGACATCTGAAATGGTACGTTCCACTTGATCTTTCTGTTTCTGAAGATTCTTCTTCGCCTCCTTCACATCTCCTTGCACAATCTCAATCTGTTCCTTTGTCATGAGGTCAAGTTCATCCAATTCTGATTGCTCTATTTGAAGACTCTTCAGTTTTTGGAGATCTCCTTTCTCAATGCAACTCCTGTATAAGTTGACGTTCCCCTTTTCATTTTCATCTAGTCTACATGAAGCGGTTGTCCTCTGATTGTTAGCAGTAGCTAAAAGGTTGCCTATAGTTGACTTCACATCTCCCCTTGTAATGTCTTGACTCTCCATTTTGGTTTGACAGAGAAGGGAGTAAACGGTCATCTCTGCATGTCCTCCCTCAGATTCCTGCATGATGATCCCCTTCTTCATCAGCTTATCTTGAACAAGCAAGCTTTCGATGATCCGAGCGAGTTTCTGTATACTTTGATCTTCGTCTTGGTTAGTTGATGCTGGCTGATTGACTGGGACTTCTAATACTGTTGTGTGAACTTTACCCTGTTCTACCTCTTTCAGAAGAGTGATCTGGGGCTTCAGGGTTGATCTGGACAATAACTGTAGCATGATGTTTCTGATGTTCCCTTCAACTATCTCCTCCTTCTGAATCTGTGCTCCCTCGGTTTTAATAAACTGGTATTTCACCATGTTGACGTTTGTGATCTCATTTGCCTCTATTAGGATTCCACTTGAGTGGATGAATTCAAGCTGATGTAGACGAGACAGCGTGTCAATCACACTTTCAACTGTGACAATTTTGTCTAAGGGTGTGGTCTCGAACAGCCAGGTTGTGCTCTTCACATCTGCTTTTGGGATCTCTTCCTCAACAACCTGTGCTGCATTCGTATTGGATTCAGCATCCTTGATCTTGTCCAGCGTCTGGGATTCGAACAGCCACGTGCAGCGTTTCACCTCTCCTTTCTGGTTGTCTTCTCTGTGGACCGTCTGGACAGGGCCCTGCTCCTCTGGTTCTCCCTTCAGCCTGTCAATGGGCTGGTTCTCAAAGAGCCAGGTGGATGTCCTGACATCTCCTTGCTGAACATCTGTCACACTAACCATCCTCACATACTTCTTACTGGCTGACTGTTCGGACTCGAAGAGCTGTTTGTTGAGCTTCACATTTCGGTTCCCAAAGTCTTCCACAACCTTGACTGTGGGTTCCTCATCTTCCTCCTTAGCTGTTAGGGAGTCCAGAGGCTGGGTCTCGAACTTCCACCTGGCTGACTTGACATCACCCTTCTTTACATCTTCCTGGGTGACAGCTCGGATCACGTAGATCTCCTTTTCCGCCTTGATGGCATCGAGGGGCTTCGTCTCGAACATCCACCGAGCTCCTCTCACATCGCCACTCATCACTTCCTCCTTCTGGACTGTGGTAACCTCGTGGAACTGGCCTTCCTTGTCTCTAATGGCGTACAGTGGCTGGGACTCAAATAGCATGGTGCTGGACTTGACATCGACGTTGCTCACTGGCTTTTCCACGGATTCCGACTTGTGTTCCAGAAGCTGATCTTTATCATGGATCTTGTCCAGAGAGAACGTTTCGAATATGAACTTCTTGTTATGGACGTCACCACCCTCCATGTCGTTGACACAATGAATGCCATTTTTCTCCTTGTCGTGTATCGCGTTGATGGGACGGTTCTCAAAAAGCCAGGTGCATTTACGCACGGATCCTTTCTGAATGCTTTCGTCTTCATCACACACCTTTATAGACTCTGAACCTATTTCATCTAAGGACTTGGACTCGAAGATCTCCTTGACCCTAGAGACATCACCAGACTGGACATGCAACTCGCTGACATATCTAACATCTTGCTCTGTGTCTGTGTCCTTCCTTATCCTATCTAAAGTCTCTGTCTCGAAAAGGTGCTTCACTGTTTTCACACCAACCTCAGCCTTGACACCATCCTGAATGGTACTGCATAATTTCAAACTATGCTCCTCACTGTCTTTAATGCTATCCAGAGCCTGTGATTCGAAAAGCCAAGTGACAGACTTCACGTTGGTATTCTCAATCTCTTCTTCTTTATCTGGGATCTTTTCTGATTTGTCGTACAGAATGTCCATAGGCTGAGTCTCGAACAGCCACTTGCAGGTCTTGACATCACCTTTCCTAGTCTCCTTCTGTTGCTCTGTTGAATTCTGCTGCTGCTCTGACTGGTTGAACTTGGAATGGATGCCATCTATGGTCTGTGTCTCAAAGAGCCACTTGGCCATCTTGACGTCTCCTGACCTATCCTCCTGCCTGGTGATTCCTTTGATAACCTCAACGTTCTTCTTTCCCTCCTCAAACTGGTCAATGGGCTTGGTCTCAAACATCCACTTGTAATTTTGGACACTTCCTTTGATGGACTCCTCTCTGTTGACAGTTGTGACCTCGTGGAAATTCCCTGAGCAGTCTTTGATCGCATATAAGGGTGTTGTCTCGAAGAGCGCTCTGTTTCCTTTCACATCTCCTGCAGTGATGTCATTTTCAGTCTTTCCGTTCAGCACTTCCTCCTCAGATTGGGTGATATTGCAGAGGGGAATTGTTTCGAAGAGATGCTTGTATGATTTAACGTCACCCTTCTCAATCTCATGATCTTTACTTATGATTTCTGCTCCGACTGAGGTCTCTTTTCTAATGTCGTAGTTCTCGAACATGTGCTTTTTGCCTTTGACTTCTCCTTGTTCATCAGTAGAAAGGATCACTTTCTTCAAATGCCCAACTTCATAGTGTTCCTTCAATGTCTCCATGGGTTGAGTTTCAAACAGCCAGAGGGAGGATTTGACATCTCCTCCAAGTATCTCCTCCTTCTCCAGAGCTACTTCTGTTGAGTCTCCTTTCAGTGCTGCCAAGGGCTGGGTCTCAAACATCTTTAGTTTGTTCCCAACATCAGCGTCAGGCACAACTTCGACCACTGTCCCCTGAAACCGGTCTTCTATGCCCTCCTCCCGGATGGTGTTGAACGGCTGAGTCTCAAACATCCACCTCTTTCTGTCCACCCCTCCTTTCTGCCCTTCCTCCAGCGATATCCCCCGGATTATCTGCATCCCGGATGTCCCCTTGTTGATGATGTCCAGAGGCTTAGTTTCGAAGAGCCAGCGTGCCGTGCTAATGTTGCTGCTACGGATCTCCTCCCTGCAGATGGACTTGATCTTGTGGATGTTGCCGCTTGCGTCTCTGAGTGCACAGCAAGGATCGGCCTGGAAGAGCTTCACTGTCTTCCTCACATCTCCTTTCTGCTCCTGGAGCTCTGACTTCAGCTTGAGGAAGCTCTGGTCCTCTACAGAGCTACAGCGGCCTAAGGCATCCAGTGGCTTGGATTCGAAAAGCAGCCGAGCTCCACTCACGTCTCCAATCTGGATCGGTTCCTTGAGAACAGCCTCGACCAGCTCGCCCTCCTCTGGCTTGAGTTTGTTGAGTGTATCCATGGGCTGGGTCTCGAACAGCCAAGTCGATGTCCTGACATCCCCTTGGACTGAACTCTGCCTTTGGACAATCTGTTGGGTTCCGTCCACCATGCAGTGCTCGAACATGGAGGATGTTCCTCTAACATCACCGCCTTGAAGAGTCTCATCTTCCAGAAGCTTCTTGGTCATGTGGGGGTGGTCCCCAATGTTGTCCAGGGTCCAGTTCTCAAAGATCCACCTCATGGACTGGACCTCTCCCTGGTACCCCGCATCCGCCGCAGTCTGGGCGCCTCCGGATTGCATCGCTGCAACCAGCTCATCATCGACTACGTCATTGATGTTTTCCCTCAGGTCTGGGTGAATGTGTTTGAAGAGTCTCTTCAGCTCGTTCTTCTGTCGCTGCTGATAGAACGTCGAGAAGGTTTCCTTCGGTGGGGGCACAGGAATGGAGGCTTGGTTGGGGCCGCCTGCGGCTGGGGACTCTTCGTAGTTCTGAGGTCTGGGTGGAATAGGGGGAGGTGGAGGCAGAGGGAGGTCGTCTTCCTCGTGACATGCCTCTGAAACTCTGTTTTTTGGGGCTACGTCGGCCATCTTGGAAAAGAGAGAAAAGGGGAGGGTCTTTGTGTTATTGTCAGTATTCAGTCAGTTAGAGAGTAGTATTAGTTAGGTATAAGAAAATGTTAGGTAGCCATGCATGTAGCAATTGAAGCCATACTTTACCTTTCTCTGTGCTTGTTCGATGTCTTTCACAGCAAACCATCTTCACTCAAGCTAAGGTTAGCCGAACTTCACACCAGTTAGTAGAGCAGCGCTAATGCTTATGTCTTAAAGTCACTGAGTAGTGTTTGACGCAAGGTATTTCTTTCAGTTTCTGTTATTGCCTTGTGTTTTGCTTTTCATATCAATATTATACATTTATACAAAGTAGGATAACTTCCGTGTTAAAAATGTGGGTAGATTACGTATTTTAAAGTATTTACCGTATGTATTTGACCGAGTTCTGGTAATAATAATTATGGTTAATGTGACCACCATCATCACCATTGTTATGCAAAACCCATTGCCCATCAGCTCTGAGTTGGATGTTTTTTTTTTTTTTTATATTAATTTCACAGCACTCACACATTGTGTTAGATTGACATATTATACCTTGCTGGCTGTAGTCTTCTTTCCTGAGGAACTGCTGGATTTCTGTTGAATGAAAACAAAGCAATTTATAATTCAGATAATCGTTCGTTCAAATGTATGCTTGAAAAGTAATGCAACTCATGTTGAATCCTGAGAATGATGGTCTGCCTGGGCAATTGATCCCTGTGTGTGTGTGTGTGTGTGTGTGTGTGTGTGTGTGTGTGTGTGTGTGTGTGTGTGTGTGTGTGTGTGTGTGTGTGTGTGTGTGTGTGTGTGTGTAAGTAATTTCGTGTATGTGTGTCCGTCTTTGTGGTGTGTGGAGGAATGGGAGGAATGCCAGGCACTCACTGTGTGTGCGGAGCTTCCTGGGGATTCGGCAGCTGTTACTCTTGACAGGTAGAGAGCTGATCTGTCTCTCACTGAGCTGGAGGTCCTCTCTCTGTCTCGACCTTGTCTTGACGGGGTGTCTCTGTAACTCAACTGGAGACGCCTCCTGTCATCTACAACACAGACACAGATAGATTGATTGATTAGGAATTGATTTCATGAATGCTTCTGATAATGTTGTCAATAGGATATGTAATCTGGGTCTCAGTTTGTATCCTAGTCTATACTATAGCTACAGCTCTGGTAACAGACCAGTGTTTTTCTCTCTGTAGTATAACACCATTTGAATTATTAAAAGACACATGACTGGAAAATTAGCACATGATTGAAAGGTATGAAATGTATGGTTGTTTAAAAGGTCCAGTGCTGTCAAAAACGTGATTGTCCTGTGTTTTATAGATGTTTAGACACTATGAGGTTAGGAATAATAATGTGAAATGGTGAAAATTATTATAATTCCCTATTAGTGTAAGAGCGGTTTGTAAAGACCGCCTGAAATTTCAGCCTGTTTTGGTAGGATGGAGATTTAGACCCATAAGAAAGAGAGTTCCAAACCTCTCTGCCAATGAACAGCTCGTTTTCAGTTTTCCCCCTCCCCGCTCAGACCACTCCCAGATAGTCCTAGCAAAATTCTTGCTAGAGAAATTGGCTCTTTGCTAAGAAGCTATTTTTGTTTCTTTTTGACAATTTTTTTATTGAAAACAATCACAGTAAGGTACTTAATTGTTACCCAGAAAAGGATTTGATATTGATAAAAAAAAAAATTAACGGCTGCATTGGACATTTAATATCATAGCAGACACTTTTTGTTGATTTACACACAGTATGGTAACAGTCAGTGTTTAAAAGGTGCAGTGACCCACATTCACAGTGATAAGGACAGTGGTATTCCTGTGCCCCATGGTCTGCTATGCACCGCACAGCTTTAATAAGCTGTGCCTCTGTCGTTGGCTATGCCACGTTGGCTGATAATGGAGTGTGTGTATATATAGCTGGGTGGTGTTGGTATGTGTGGCTACCCTATCTGTTCACTATTGTTACACTGTGGAAACTATTCCCTCTCAGACATGGGCCTTTATGTGCCAATCAGGACCGACTCTGCAAAATAATTGACCTTAGAACAAAACAAAAAAATAATGTAACTTGCAACAATGTAATAAATGCATTATCAAGTGTTATTGCATCATCAGTTGTTACAGAAAAAAAAAATACATATTGTTGCTAAAATAATGGAAAATATACACTTAAAAAAACATGCCTTTAACATATTATATTAGTCATTTATGTTTAATGAATGGGTAGACCTAAGTCCTAACCAGCTCTAGAGAAAGGATCTACACAGTAGCAAAAACTAAAGATTAATGGATGCTCTGGTCCTTCTGGATGACAAACCAAACGCCCTGCCTCACACACTGTAGCTACAGCCTGCCACCAGTTGCCTTAGACCCTCAACAAACACCATTCCATGGCCTGACCATCACGACCTGGAGGAAGAAACAAAAACGACAACTGCTAGCTCAGCTGGAGTGACCCCTGATTGTTTTGAGCAACATTGTTGGTGTGACTCACCTCCATCCCAGCCATCCATACCTGACCAAAAACACAACAGGTCAGAAGAATGCCTGAATTGAATCTCTCTGGCTGTCACCGTGGGGACTGTGGCACGAACACTAGAACGTTAGAATGCTTGCAATTCTATCTGAACATCCTAGTTTTCCTATTTGAAACACAAAATGTGTTGAGTGGTGTTTTATAGCCTTCGTCTGTGTTTTGGTTGGCTTTGTGTGCCACAAGATGCCCCTATTCACTACAGGCACATAGAAAATATATTGAGGCAAACATCTACAGTAGCGTCAACTACAAAAAACATCATCCCCAAGTTCGAAATAAGCGTTGAAACAATAGCAGCCCCAACCACTGAATACCACCAGCCCTAGTGAGTGTAGACCAGGCCCTATAGCCTCCGAGCATTTTCACGCTGTTCTGTCAGTCCAAACAACAGAAGCTAAGCCTCCCCTGCAGGCGTGCTTTGACAGGGGGTCAGCAGTAGTCCCTGTGACCCGCTGGATAAAACCCATCATCTCTAACTAAAGGCCAGATTCGAACATACCTCTGTCCGTTTTATTCACGCAGTAAGCTCTTGCCGGACAAAAGGATTGGGCCAGCTAACTGGCGCCACTCACGAGTCGGGACTTAAAGCATTTTCCATAGCTGGGTGAGCAGATAGAATGAGACAGCATAACGTCACGCGAGGCTGTGGATGAGGTTATAACCCCAGAGAAGTGCCAGGGTCAAGTTGAACACTTACTGGGAACACGATAATAACGCATGTGTTATTGATGCTTATTGATCAGCTATTGATGAGGTGTTGGTCATTGTTGGTTAGGTCCTTTGACCCACGCTAATTGATAACTCACACTTTAAATTTGAACACTTCCCGGGAATATGGTAATAATTAACGTGTTTTTGATGTTTATTGATCAGGTGTTAATAAGTTAAGTTGATAAGATGAGAGGTAATTTGGGGGGAAAACAATAGTGTTTTCTTGGTAGCGCTTAGTATTTCAGTCATCACTAGTTACCACAGCCACAGAGTCATAAACCCCACCTATTTCTGAAAATGTTCTTCTTAAAATATGATTTTAAACCTAACCTTCACCCTAACCTTAACCACACTGCTAACCTTATGCCTAACCCTAACCTTACATTTTTGTTTTCATGAATTTCTACGATATAACCTATTTTTATTCTGTGGCTGTGGTAACTAGTGACAACTATTAATGTAATCAACGAGTGCTTCCTGCTGATTTCCCTTCTGACAGAGCATAGCTGACTTTTGCCGCTGCACAGAGGAGGAAACATGAAAAATCCAACTATGGACAATTCTATGAATCTCAACTGAAGTAGCTGCATATCAGCATTCTTTAACATGTTCGCTAGCTAGCTGGCTTTGAGTTATTTCCACAGTCAGACACCTTTTAGGGGCCTGGCTACCCCTCTTCCAGTCTGGCTATCCTCTCCTCAATCTCCACAGGAATGGAGAGAGAAGCTATTAGCAGATCAGCAATGTGGGGCTTTTGCACTACTGACAGCTGTCCAAATCATGCATAAACGCAGTAGGTATTTGTCCCCAACCAACCAGCTCAGCTGCTTTCGATTGTAGCCCACAGATTCACAGACAGGTCATAAAACTACTACCGGTTTACAAAATGGTTGTCTAGGAAAATTCCAAAAGACCTTAAAAATAGAACATTTCCTGAAATCTTGAATTGGGATTTCGATACATCTCCTGAATTGGCAGATTTATAAATGGAATCGATACCAACCGTCATCCAAATTAAAAACAAGAAAAAGAAATGAAATAAAATACATTGTGATGCTATTACTATCGTTCTCACTGTGCTGATTCCACATCAACTCTATCATGATGCGTTTAGGTTTCCAGAGAGGAGGTCGGTGATTGGTCAACCATGACCTCTGACCCTCCATTCTTGTCTTATCTAAGGATTAGGGTCTGAGAGACGATAGCCACTCACTTAAGAAATTGCAAAGATGGCCCATGGGAAAAACTCTAAGACACTTGGTTCCATGACCTTGGGTGGGTGGCTGGCTGGCTGCATATAGCCTTCTTAATTTGACTCCTAAGTGTGTGCATACACGCACACGCACGCACGCACACACACACACACACACACACACATAAGATATTAGTGTGTGACAAAGACAGGGAGGTCTGGGGGCAGGATTTGATCCATTAGAGGTGACTATGACCCATCAGTTAAGATTAAGTTGTCATGTAGACTTTTCCTTTTTCGTATTAATATTTGCTATTATATGAAAGAGATTTTGATTAATTAATTATACTAAACTCTGCAGACTTAACTTTGAAGCAGACAACATTAAATGGACAGGCAATGTATGTTAGGCTAAATTATTTATATTTTTGTGTTGTACAGTGTTGATGACAGCAAAGCACTTCAGGCTAAACTCAAAGCATTACTGATTAGTTATTTCCTTTGCCGAAAATCCCCATATCCCCATATCCACATATCCCCATATCCCCATATCCACATATCCCCATATCCCCATATCCACATATCCGCATATCCACATATCCCGTGTGCACATATCCCCATATCCACATATCCCCGTATCCCCATATCCACATATCCCCATATCCCCATATCCCCATATCCACATATCCCCATATCCCCATATCCCCATATCCCCATATCCCCATATCCACATATCCCCATATCCACATATCCACATATCCACATATCCACATATCCCATCACCCCATGTCCCCATGTCCCCATGTCCCCATATCCACATATCCCCATCCTAATTTTACTCACTGGCATCTTTTGTCTTATTGACATGATGCTACAAAGCCTCCTCGTCGACCGGAACAAAACAATAAAATCTACAGCACCCATTCATTTAGAATAAACACCTTCTGTAACTGAATCCATAATACTTACAAACAGTACAGCCAGTGTAGTTGTTATTCTCCTGCTGTGGTTGTCTCTCTGAATACAGATCAAACCGCTGGTTGTCGGCTGAGACAGTTCCTGTGATGGCTGTAGGATGGTCTGTGTTTCTCTGGTAGTGTTAGCCCCTTTAGACTGTGTCTATAGCTGTTCCCCTCTCTCTCTCTCTCTCTCTCTGTGTGTGGCTCTCTGTCTGCCTGTCGTGTCACTGTGCCTCTCTTTAGTCTCTAGTCCTGTGGCTAGTAGTGACAGCTGATTTTTATCAGGACTGCTGCCCCCCCCCCGCTGGGAACGTTGGGTCTATTTTGGGAGGGTGGGTGGCGGTGTGTTGGGGGGCAGTGGGTTGGGCAGTCACTATAATTTAGGACTGAGTCAATCCTCTCTGTTAGTCACTGAGAGACTGGACTAGGGCACCCCCTCCTCACACTGTCACCCCTCATCCTCACCCCTCCTCCCATTGCCATAGCGATATCATCACCCCCCCCCCCCCCCCTCCCATTGCCATAGCTACACCCATAATCACCCCCTATGCTGGGTACTGCATGGAGAGGGATATGCAGTCCTAGTGATGTTATCAGGTGCTCAGTGGGCGCTTGGCAAGACGATACAAAAACAAAACAGTCAACTGCTGTGCAACTGCTATTTTGGTCAAGTGGCACATTGATAATGTAGACTGAAATATGATTAGCTCTCAGGTGCTTTAATGCTGTATTTGCTAATAAAAACTAAAAGAGGAGATTATGAAGAGTAGAGACTCTGAGGTGATTCATATGCTTGAGGAATGGAGATATCTTTATCAGAGAAAGTATTTTCTAAGTATTGGTGTCCTGACATTCTCCTGACATTTTTGGGGGGTGATGATATGTTGCCCAAGATCACTTGGGACCCACATCTACTTTGTTTTCTTGTGTCTCCCTCACAGCCGTTTTTGTCACTACCAGCGAAACTCAAAGTTAAAACTTTTAGGATCTTAGGATCTCTGAGGATCTTTCTGTCAATCACAGGGATGTAGCTCAGTTGGTAGAGCATGGCATTTCCAATGCCAGGGTTGTGGGTTCGATTCCCACGGGGGGCCAGTATGAAACATAAAAAAAAAAAATGCATCCACTCGCTAACTGTAAGTCGCTCTGGATAAGAGCGTCTGCTAAACGACTAAAATGTAAATGTAAATCACATTCCTGACAGATTCTCTGTCACAAGGTGATCCCAGACACATCACCAGGTCACAGAGTCATAGACGATATCCTGGAAATATGTCACCTCTACGGAGGTTCGCGGCTGTACCGGCTGCGTCACGGTTATACCAGCAAGCACTGCGACACTCCCTGTTTTGAGCATGTGTGCGGAGCTGCATAGTTATGTGTCTACAAATCTACATCCTACTCTGTATATAGCTTCATAGAGCTCCCAGGGCCAGTCACACCTGGGTTCAAACACTATTTGAAATCCTTTCAAATACCTTATCTGTTCTTGATTGAGTTTGCCTGGCTTAATCAACCAATAGAATAGTCCCAGAACTGCAAACCCCGCCTATCTGGCACTCCAGGCAGGTTAAAGCAAACCTCTCAAAGTCTTTGAAAGATTACAAATAGTGTTTGAACCCTGGTGTTGGTCCAGGAACCATGGGGCTGCTGTTTACCTAATGGGTTTCTGCTTTCTGGAGGCATGCTGAGGCTGTGACGTGTCGGGATTACAGAGAGATATTTATAACATGGCCGCCATGCTGTGGCCCTGGCATTCTGACTCGGTGGCAACTTAAGACTGCTTCACTCACTAGATGACTGGTGTGTGTGTGTGTGTGTGTGTGTGTGTGTGTGTGTGTGTGTGTGTGTGTGTGTGTGTGTGTGTGTGTGTGTGTGTGTGTGTGTGTGTGTGACTTTGGATGCCCTCCACCCTAGACAAATGGATATTCTGTCAGTATCATTCACTCTTTATGAGATATACCTATATTTTGGTATTACTGTAGAGTATGCCAGAAAACAATCATACAGGAAGGGACGTCTTGATTGTTAACCTACACAAACACCAATATTGACGTCAGTGTTGCATGTATAGCGGGAATCATCAGGGGGGGGGACAAGGGTTTGATTCCAAGCTGTTTTTATAGTCACAGGACACCTAGGCAGTGAACAGTTCCCCCAGGGAAGGCGATGACCTAATGTTGGCGGGGTTGCCCCTCCGTTGTGCCATGTCATGCTGACAGTTATAATAACCCAGTGACCGTAGTGATGCATTAGCGTATTTCCATCTCACCCCCCTGTCATTTCCAGTATATTGCACACTGACTGTAGTTGTGTGTGTGTGTGTGTGTGTGTGTGTGTGTGTGTGTGTGTGTGTGTGTGTGTGTGTGTGTGTGTGTGTGTGTGTGTGTGTGTGTGTGTGTGTGGTGTGTGTGTGTGTGTGTGTTGTGTGTGTGTGTGTGTGTGTGTGTGTGTGTGTGTGTGTGTGTGTGTGTGTGTGTGTGTGTGTGTGTGTGTGTGTGTGTGTGTGTGTGTGTGATTTGGTCCTACTACTCACCCTGTGGTGTATCTCTGGAACCCCTGACGTAGGACCCTGGGACACCACTTATGGTCTTCCTCCTATCGCTCTGAACAGCACGCTGGGGAAAAAACAAAAACATTAACATTGAGATTAAGAAAAGGGGAATTTACTTTATGCAGAGAAACTTTTTCAAGAGAGAGAGAGTAGCTTTATGAAACAATGGTTGAATTTACACTAATCGCATAAATAAATAAACACACACACACACCTGAGCGTTGTCCTTCCTCCCAGGAGTCCCTTCAGTGCTGTAACCCCTCCTCGCCCCCAGAGGGCGCTCTTTTTCCTTCTCACTAGACTGAATCCCTGCCTCCACCACCTCCACCCTGCTGGCTGGAGAGGCTACATTCAGCCTGGGGGAGCTGGAGAAGTCCTTCTGCAGGGTGGCCTTGGACTCGAACAGGGCTCGCAGTGCGCTGGTCCCTTCCGGAGCCCGGTCCCGCTGGGGAAGATAGTCCATGGAGCGACTCCGGGACAGCAGGAGAGAACCAGAGCCAGTACCCAAACGGTCCACATGGTCCCCCCGGCTCTCTAACCTCCTCCAAGGGGAAACTAGGCCTACTGACATCTCTTCTCTGGAGGAACAGAACAGGGACAGGGAGACCTGGGAGAGAGGTGGATATATTATTGATCAGTAAGTAATCAAATTCAAGAAAACTTTATCTAAAGTTAATTTATTGAAAAGGAAAAGGCGCAACCCATCGCTCAACATTAAAAACATATCATTTTATTTAAGCAACTATTAAAAGCTCCTTTCTAGAGTTCCTTTGAAAATCTCAACACACATTACAAACCTTCCGCTTGTCTTGATTGGATTCAGAGGTGCTTAGTTCCACACAGCTCTGGTACCTGTCAATAAAGAAAGGGGGTTATTAAAGCCTAGGCTATATTTAGGGTCATGAGTTTTTCCTACTCAGGTCAAGTGTTCTGGCTGCAAACACCATTGAAATATTGAATCCATGACTCACGACCATGTTAGCTCACTGAGCTAAAGCTTGGGTTAGTGCTAACACAGGTCTTCAGGGCTCAGGCAAGCATAGATCATCAAGCCATCTCTGTTCCATCAACTTGGTTAAAAGTATATTTTATTACACATGCACCTACAGTACCAGTCAAAAGTTTGGACACACCTATTCATTCAAGGGTTTTTCTTAATTTTTTATTATTTTCTACATTGTAGAATAATTGTGAAGACATCAAAACTATTAAATAACACCTATGGAATCATGTAGTAACCAAATAAGTGTTAAACAAATTTTATATTTGAGAGTCTTCAAAGTAGCCACCCTTTGGCTTGATGACAGCTTTGCACACTCTTGGCATTCTCTCAACCAGCTTCACCTGGAATGCTTTTCCAACATTCTTGAAGGAGTTCCCACATATGCTGAGCACTTGTTGGCTGCTTTTCCTTCACTCTGCGATCCAACTCATCCCAAACCATCTCAATTGGGTTGAGGTCATCCTACACCATGACACCTCCAACTCCATGCTTCACGGTGGGAACTACACATGCAGAGATCATCCGTTCACCTACATATTATGGCAAGAACCGCTCAAATAAGCAAAGAGAAATTACAGTTCATCATTACTTTAAGACATGAAGGTCAGTCAATACGGAAAATTTCAAGAACTTTGAAAGTTTCTTCAACTGCAGTCGCAAAAACCATCAAGACCTATGATGAAACTGGCTCTTATGAGGACCGCCACAGGAATGGAAAACCCAGAGTTACCTCTGCTACAGAGGATAAGTTCATTAGAGTTACCAGACTCAGAAATTGCTGCCCAAATAAATGTTTCATAGATTTCAAGTAACAGACACATCTCAAGATCAACTGTTCAGAGGAGACTGCATGAATCAGGCCTTCATGGTCGAATTGCTGCAAAGAAACCACTACTAAAGGACACCAATAAGAAGAAGAGAATTGTTTGGGCCAAGAAACACGAGCAATGGACATTAGACCAGTGGAAATCTGTCCTTTGGTCTGATGAGTCCAAATGTGAGATTTTTGGTTCCAACTGCTGTGTCTTTGTGAGACGCAGAGTAGGTGAACGGAAGATCTCTGCATGTGTAGTTCCCACCGTGAAGCATGGAGGAGGAGGTGTGATGGAGTAGGATGACCTCAACCCAATTGAGATGGTTTGGGATGAGTTGGATCGCAGAGTGAAGGAAAAGAAGCCAACAAGTGCTCAGCATATGTGGGAACTCTTTCAAGAATGTTGGAAAAGCATTCCAGGTGAAGCTGGTTGAGAGAATGCCAAGAGTGTGCAAAGCTGTCATCAAGCCAAAGGGTGGCTACTTTGAAGACTCTCAAACATAAAATTTGTTTAACACTTTTTTGGTTACTACATGATTCCATAGGTGTTATTTCATAGTTTTGATGTCTTCACTATTATTCTACAATGTAGAAAATAGTAAAAAAATAAAGAAAAACCCTTGAATGAGTAGGTGTTGTCCAAACTTTTGACTGGTACTGTATGATCTAATATAACATATGAACAAAATCTAATATAACATATGAACTATGTTATTAGATCTGTCAGTGTGAGGGTGTGTTGTTGTTTATGGTGAGCTAGCAGACACTGAGTAGCCTTTAAACTTACTGTTGTACAAGCTGAGAGACAGACTTCTTGTTGTCCCAGAGAGAGGACTTTGATGTGACCCATGACCTCTCCAAAACCCCAGATCCAGACAGGCTCTTCAGTGATTGGCTCCTCCTCAGGGTGTTCATCATCTCCATGGCGATACCTCAGGCAACCTCAGCATCCGATTGGACTGGCAGTAAAGTCAGGTGGCATCAAAGACGTAGTTCTTTATTTGACTGTTTCCACTGGCGTAAACACATTAATATGAATATCTCTGAGTTACATTATAACAAAGAAACACACAAGGAAAGTGATTGGCTCCTCCTCGGGTTAGATTACTAAAATGAAAGTGTATTTGGAGAGAGTTTTTTTTACCAGAAATATATTAAAGCTGACAGTAGGTCCACAGTGCCACTAAAAGTAGAGGGAGACGTTACTGTTACACGAGGGGGATGGTTCCACAGCTTGTCACACACTGTCTGTCATATGATCCTGTTAATGTTTAATGGGCCTCAGTGCTTTGACAGAACAGTTACAGGCTACCACCACTGACTACAATTGTTCACCACTGACTACACCTGTTTACCACTGACTACACCTGTTTACCACTGGAACACCTGTTTACCACTGGAACACCTGTTTACCACTGGAACACCTGTTTACCACTGGAACACCTGTTTACCACTGGAACACCTGTTTACCACTGGAACACCTGTTTACCACTGGAACACCTGTTTACCACTGACTACACCTGTTTACCACTGGAACACCTGTTTACCACTGGAACACCTGTTTACCACTGGAACACCTGTTTACCACTGGAACACCTGTTTACCACTGGAACAACCTGTTTACCACTGGAACACCCGTTTACCACTGGAAACACCTGTTTACCACTGACTACACCTGTTTACCACTGGAACACCTGTTTACCACTGGAACACCTGTTTACCACTGGAACACCTGTTTACCACTGGAACACCTGTTTACCACTGGAACACCTGTTTACCACTGACTACACCTGTTGACCACTGGAACACCTGTTTACCACTGGAACACCTGTTGACCACTGGAACACCTGTTTACCACTGGAACACCTGTTTACCACTGGAACACCTGTTTACCACTGGAACACCTGTTTACCACTGGAACACCTGTTTACCACTGGAACACCTGTTTACCACTGGACACCTGTTTACCACTGGAACACCTGTTTACCACTGGAACACCTGTTTACCACTGGAACACCTGTTTACCACTGGAACACCTGTTTACCACTGGAACACTGTTTACCACTGGAAACACCTGTTTACCACTGAACACCTGTTTACCACTGGAACACCTGTTTACCACTGGAACACCCGTTTACCACCGGAACACCTGTTTACCACTGGAACACCTGTTTACCACTGGAACACCCTGTTTACCACTGGAACACCTGTTTACCACTGACTACACCTGTTTACCACTGGAACACCTGTTTACCACTGGAACACCTGTTTACCACTGGAACACCTGTTTACCACTGGAACACCTGTTTACCACTGGAACACCTGTTTACCACTGGAACACCTGTTTACCACTGGAACACCTGTTTACCACTGGAACACCTGTTTACCACTGGAACACCTGTTTACCACTGACTACACCTGTTGACCACTGGAACACCTGTTTACCACTGGAACACCTGTTTACCACTGGAACACCTGTTTACCACTGACTACACCTGTTTACCACTGGAACACCTGTTGACCACTGGAACACCTGTTTACCACTGGAACACCTGTTTACCACTGGAACACCTGTTTACCACTGGAACACCTGTTTACCACTGGAACACCTGTTTACCACTGACTACACCTGTTGACCACGGGAACCCCCCCGGGGTTTTACCAGGGAACCCCCCGTTTAACCCCACCCTGGAACATTTTTGGACACGGGCCCCCCCTTTTAACAACCTGTTTTTGACCACTGAAACCTGTTACCCGGAAAACACCTGTTTAAAAAATGCCCCTCCCCCACCCCCCCCCCTTTTTTTCCCATGGCCCCCAACCCCCTGTTTACCACTGAACACCGTTTAAACCCCTTTTTACGGAAACCCCTTTTCCCACTGGAACCCCTTTTACCACTGGAACACCTTTTCCCGGAACATGTTTTGGGACCAATGACACCCTGTTGACCACTGGCCCTTTTTCCAAGGAACACCTGTTTCCCACGGGATACACCTTTTTACCACGGGGAACCCTGTTTACCACGGAAAAACCTTTACCCTGGAACACCCTAAACCACATACTAAAGGGCACGGGTATATTTTTATACCCCCGGTACGTCTTCACATTACAAGCCCTTTTGCTATGAAATCCCGACGTTTTGTATACTTAGCAACCCTAAACACATACTCGACATACGCTACAAGACGTCTGTGACTAAACTGAGTTCTTAAATCTACAGAACCAAACAGATAAACTTGAAGAATCTTTTTACTTTCTCATTTACAGACGTTTTATCCAGAGCGTTTACGGTAGTGAATGCATACATTTTCATACTGGTCCCCTGTGTGAATCGAAGCCAAAACCCTGGTGTTGCAAGCTCCATGCTCTACCAACTGAGCCACATGGGACCAGCATAAAGAACAGTTAACCGTTCGTTATCCAGAGATATATTCATTAATATCCTTACCAGAGTGGAGAGGTCTTCTGTGCATTCCCGTCTGTGCTATTCAGTCCAGTGCTGTTTCAGAAGCATCAGTCACTCACAAGACACAGCAATTCCCTTTGGCCAAAGTCCCCTGTTTTACACCCTGTGATTCCAGGCTTCCGGAATCCAGACAGATACAGTTCCTCAACAGAACTCATAATGAATCCACTCTGATTACACCATAAAACAAAGTACACAGACTTGTTTCAATCAGTCCTTGCTAATCCATGCCTTATGCTGTGCAGTAAAGAGTAAGGCTTTGCAGGTGTAATGGAGATGGTTCTTTAACATGTGATGAGTAACCTTGCCTGAGACATGAAGACTTGCATTTGCTCCCTGAGCTAATGCCTAGGCTTTAGCTCAGTTGGATAATAGGATACCTGTGTTTGAACCCAGTCTCTCTCTCCCCTCTCTCTTTCCCTCCCTCTCTTACCCCCCTAAAACAAAAGAAAAAGTTTTTTTTGAAAAGGGGGGAAAAACGGGGGGAGGGGGGTTTTTTTGGGGGGGTTTAAAAATTAATTTCCCCCCCTCTCCCTTCCCCTCCCCCTCCCCCCCCCCCCCCCCTTTTTCCCCCCCCCCCCCTTTTTCCCCCCCCCTTTCCCCCCTTTCTTCTCCCCCTTGGTTCCCTCCCCCTTTTTCCCCATCTTTTTTCCCCTTTTTTTTTCTTTTTTAAAAACCCCCCCTCCTCTTTTGGCCCCCCCCTTTTCCCCCCCGCCCCCCTCCGGGGCCCCCCCCCTTTGGGGGGAAAAAACCCCCCGGGGGGCCCCTCCCCCCCTCCCTTTTTCTTTAAAAAACCCCCCCCCCCCTTTTCCCCCCCCCCCTGCCCCCTTTTTCCCCCCCAAAAATTTTCCCCCCCCTTTTTCCCCCTCCGGTTTCCCCTTTCCCTTTTTCCTCTTTCCCCCCTTCGTTTCCCCGTTTTTGGTTTGGTTTTGGGCTTTTTGGCCCCTTTTCCCGCTTTTTTGCTTTTCTCTTCCTTCCCCTTTTCCCCCCCCCCTTTTTTTCCCCCTTTTTTCCCCCTAATTTTCTTCCTTTCTTTTTCCTTTTTTTTTTTGTTTTTCTGCTGCCTTTGGCTTTTGCTTCGTTGTTGTTTTGTCTTTTTCGTTGTGTTGTCTTTTGCCCTTTTTCCCCTTTCCTTCTTTTTTTCCCCTTTTTTCTTTTCCCCTTTTTTTTCCCCCCTTTTTTTCCCTGTGAAAATGATGTCAACTGGGAAAGCCTAAAGTTGAGAACACCCCCAAAACCAAAGGTCTGTCCCCAAAAAAATTTTTTAACCCCAAATTGGGGCCCAAAAAAAAAATTAAATGGTTTTTTTAAAAAGGGGTTTTTGGAAAAAACCCCCCAACCCCCAACAAAACATTTTTTCTCTCTCCTCATAGCTTATCATACTGACTTTTTCAGCATATAACGGAAATCACCTTTATAAAACCTCAGTGAAAAAATGTGCTGTCGCTTTAGTAAGTGATCAATATGGCCTGTGTTGTTAGATAGTGCTAATTCTAGATGTAATAATGCTGGCCACCCCATGGACAATACAGAGACCCATTACAGCTGGTAAAGTTATTTCTGCTTCTTATGTTAAGGCATGTTGTGTTGTTGCTATGGGAACCAACGTGATAAATGAACAGCAGTTTTATTCGCTGATCTGTAAATAAGTGTTTGCTCAATTGACAGATCTATGCAGTCCGGGATCTTAAGAACAACAAATTCGTAACATATTGTACGAATTGGATTGCACAATGTTATTTTAATTTTTTTTTGCAGGACACAACATATCATACAAAATGGATGACTTAGTACACAATTAGATGATGTAGTACTGAAGCTCTGCGACCCGAGCCCGATGGGCCCCGACATTATACATAGGGCCGGGTAGGGATCGTTTTTCATCAATAACTAGGGTGCGGGCAGGGCTTGGGTATCTAAAACTAAACTGATCATTAACATTTTGAAGCTGGGCCATTTGCTCATGCTCTGCTACACAGTACAGTCATATCTGACTGACTAAGATCATAACATGGTGTCAGAAGTGCTTCAACCTCGTCAAATATAAGACAGGAGAGATTATTTCACGGAAAATAATCGTGTTCCTTGAGTTTAGAGTGACAGAAAGTAGCTAACAGCTGTCTCATGTCTCATCATTGAGCAGAGCAGCCCAAGCGGAGCTGTTGCTATGGTTACTCACAGACTCAGAGCAGCCATGAGTAGAGTGCATGCTGAGTGAGCTGCCTGCACACAGAGAGCGAATGACAGACAGAGAGGAATCGCGAATGGATTTAGTCATTTTCGAGTTTTGGGCAGGGCCGGGCCGGGCCTTAAATTTGGCAGAAGCAATCGGGCCTGGGTAGGGTAGGGCCTGAACGTCACGGGCATAGGCTAGGTCTTAAAATTCATGCCTGTGCAGGGCTCTACGTAGTACACAAAAAACGGGGACTCGTTTTGGCTCGTGAGCACTACCTTCAAAACTACTGGCTGAAACGTTCCGGAGCATCACTTTAAGTCAGTCTCTGCAATATCACTCTGCACATTAAAATGAGAGTCCTCCTGAAACCTGCATTTTATGAGTACTTTCATAGTACAGTATGTCCTTTCTGAAATGCATTCTGGTAGTAAAATGAAAAAAACACAAAAAAAAACATGGTATTTGCACCAGTACCATGGTATTTTCCTGCCATGGTAGTGACCAAAAAACATGATTTTTTTTTCCATTGTACTAGCTACCATGGTACACAAATGAACCATACCATGTTTTTTTTTTACTAGCGGCATGTAATGAAACATGAAGGCATAGTAGCTAGTTGTTTACAATGTATTATTTACATTTACGTCATTTAGCAGACGCTCTTATCCAGAGCGACTTACAGTTAGTGAGTGCATACATTATTGTTACTTTTTTTTTTTTTTTTCATACCCCCCCATGGGAATCAAACCCACAACCCTGGCGTTGCAAACGCCATGCTCTACCAACTGAGCTACATCCCCTGCCGGCCATTCCCTCCCCTACCCTGGACGACGCTGGGCCAATTGTGCGCCGCCCCATGGGTCTCCCGGTCGGCTACGACAGAGCCTGGATTCGAACCAGGATCTCTAGTGGCACAGCTAGCACTGCGATGCAGTGCCTTAGACCACTGCGCCACTCGGGAGACGATTGTCTGTGTCCAACCGTTGTTCAGGTAAAGTGACCAAAAGCATAGTCATTTATGGTACTCACATAATGCAACACTGACTCCTCACTCTGCAATGGAAAAGTGTAACCGGTGTGAAATGGCTAGCTAGTTAGCGGTGCGCGCTAGTAGCGTTTCAATCGGTGACGTCACTCGCTCTGAGACCTTGAAGTAGTTGTTTCCCTTGCTCTGCAAGGGCCGCGGGGGCTTTTGTGGAGCGACGGGTAACGGTGCTTCGAGGGTGACTGTTGTCGATGTGTGCAGAGGGTCCCTGGTTCAAGCCCAGGTAAGGGCGAGGAGAGGGACGGAAGCAACACTGTTACAAAAGCGTAGGTCCTAGTATCCTCTTAAACCCCCTTTAGCTCATAGTGAAAAACCACAACACACGTGGTCTAGTAGTGTAGTGTACCTTTTTAAACCTTGGGACCTGGATAGGGTGTGAAGAATGAAGGACTGAAACCTTGAAGATTTAAAATAGTTTATCTGGTGCATCTCTCTTCAATACAGTTTTCAGTTGGCTCTCTCTCATTCAACTTCTTTCAACTGACTTGGCTACTCTTCTACAATTCTAGACCGTCAACATACTGAAAAAAATTTTTTTTGTAAAAATTGCTATGCTAACAGACTTTTATAAATTAATTAAACTATCAAAACATAATTTTAAATAAATAACAACAATTATATCGTTACACTTAACTTGGTGTTTCATATCCTATGTTTTATAACTCGCCCGCCGTGATGATAACGTTTAAAATATGTGATTTATCTTGTGACTCTCTCTTCAGTTTACAGTTGGCTTGGCTCTCATTCAACTGCCTCCCTGACTGGGCAGGTTAGCGCGGGAGCCACTGTGGGCTGAGAGCGCCACTAGAGCGAGGGGCTCCCTCTGCAGGCCGAAACAAGCACAACACCCCCCCCCCCCCCCCCCCCCCCCCTTGACTATAAATACTGTAAATTATTACAAAAATGCCAAAGATTAGGCTACAAAATATCTCACATTCTCCCACATTTTAGGTTGGCAACACAGGGAACCCAAACATGAGCAAAGAATGCTACTATTAATACAGAAAGTATTACCCCTTTATCAGAAACTGGCCCATACTGGTATATTTCCATGATTCAGACCTATACCATGGTATAAATGATGCCATACCATGGTCATATTTAGGTGCAATGGCAATACCATGGCAGTACCGTCATACTTCAAGGCTAAGACCATGGTACATTTTCATGATTCAGACCATAGTAGTACCAAGGTACATTTTTATAAGGGTTTTCAGTGTGGATGTTTGTGTGGAGAATAAAAAAAGGAGTTGAAATGTACTCAAAGTTATATCATTTAAAAAGATGGTGACACGTGATTTTACAATAAAACAGTGTCAAAGGGTGATTTTATATGACACTGTTTTAATGATTTGCCAAAGGTAGATGGAAATTACAGTGTTTTCCACGAATATGAAGAAATTCAAGTAAACATTAACTTTGTCACTCTTTTTTGTTGTTGTTGATAGCTTAGCCCTAGTTCAAACAGCGCTCTATTGAACTTTCTCTTTGGAATAGCGGGGATAGAGTTCCGTCGGAAACAATTGAGTGCGCCTCGTCGGACTTTTGACGATGGCACGCCTCTTGTTTCATGCAGCGATAAATTAGGTGCGTTCAATTCGCTTGAACGTTTGTTATGTTGCGGAACGGTTTGTACTGAACGATAGATTTCCACAAAACGTTCTTGAACAGACCTTGAGGTACGTTTGCTCCCGTTTGGTGGGTGTGGTGAGGTGTGGCTTGAAGCAACGTTTTAAAGGGCAGTGGCCATGCTGCTGACAGCGCTCCCCAACCCCTCCCCGTGTTTAAACTGGTCGTTTAGTACAGCACCGTTTCTGTACAATTAATTGGTTGTTCCAGAACATAAAACGTTCCAAGGATCCCAGATTGCACGGACCCAAATATTGTATAACCTCACATCTGTTATTCAATCTGTTGACAATACCAGTATCCACCAGTAGATGTAAGTAGAGTAACATATTAAGCACTAACCTTCTCTTGAACTGTGTCCAGAGAAACATTGTTTGGGCTCTGCACTTGTTTTAGTGGTTTCGTGGTAGACTGGAATGCCTGGTCAATAACAATAACAACCGAGGAGAGCGTCTGGATAAGAACGTCTGCTAAATGACTGAAATGTAAAAAATGTAATGCCAGTTTGAGAACTCAGTATATCAAAGTTCAGCCATGATGTTTGTCATATAGTAAGAACATGGGATAAACATGTGCATGGATAATACCAAGCACAAAGAAATATAATAATAATAATAATTACATTACTTATTATAATTATTATGATTATTATATTATAATTAAATATTTATATGAGCAAGCATTTGTGCATTATCATTTGTGGTTTTCACTGTCACTGCCTTGGCATTTGAAACTGTATAGAGGTCCTCTATCTCCATCACATCAGATAAACAAGATGCTTGCTAGGCTTCATGTATTCATGTGTAACACCTCCTGTCTCTGAAGTTCCTCAAGGAGATATGCCCTAATGTGTATCTATTGCTGCTATGTCTTCCTTAGTCTCAGCAGTTCAGCATTGTGGGTAATGCATTCTACACATTGGTAGTGGATGAGGTGAACGCATTCTACAATGTAGTGGATGAGGTGAACGCAATTCTACCATTGGTAGTGGATGAGGTGAATGCATTCTCACATTGGTAGTGGAATAGGTGACGCATTCTAACACATTGGTAGTGGATGGGTGAACGCATTCTACACATTGGTAGTGGATGAGGTGAACGCATTCTACACATTGGGGTAGTGGATGAGGTGACCATTCTACACATTGGAGTGTATGAGGTGAACCATTCTACACATTGGTAGTGGATGAGGTTACCATTCTACACATTGGTAGTGGATGAGGTTAACGCTTCTTTACACATTGGTAGTGGATGAGGTGACCCGCATTCTACCCATTGGTATGGTGAGGTGAACGCATTCCTCCATTGGTAGTGGATGAGGTGAACTCCTTTCTACACATTGGTAGTGGATGGAGGCGAACGCATTCTAACATTGGTAGTGGATAGGTGAATGCATTCCTACACATTGGTAAGTGGATGAGGTGAACAGCATTCTACACATGGTATGGATGAGGTGAACGCATTCTACACATGTGTAGTGGTATGAGGTGAACGCATTCACACTGGTAGTGGATGGGGGATCAATTCTACACATTGGTGTGGATGAGGTGAACGCATTCTACACTTGGTAGTGGATGAGGTGAACGCTTCTACCATTGTCTACCCTTGTAGTGGATGCGTGAATGCATTCTACACATTTGTATGGATGAGGTGAACGCATTCGACCCTTGGTATTGGATGAGGTGAACGCATTCTACACATTTGGTATGGATAGGTGAACGCATTCCTACACATTGGTAGTGGATGAGGTGAACGCATTCTACACTCTGTAGGGATGAGGTGAACGCATTCTACCATTGGTGTTGCTGAGGTGAACGCATTCTACACATGGGTATGGATGAGGTGAACGCTTCTACACATTGGTAAGTGGATGAGGTGAACGCATTCTACACATTGGTATGATGAGGTGAACGCATTCTACACATTGGGTAGTGGATAGGTGAACGCATTCTCCCACATTGGTGTGGATGAGGTGAACGATTCTACACATTGGTAGTGGATGAGGTGACGCATCCATCATTGGTATGGATTGAGGTGAACGCATTCTAACACATTGGTAGTGGATGAGGTGAACGCATTCAAACATGTATGGATGAGGTGAATGCTTTCTACACATTGGTAGTGATGAGGTGAACGCATTCTACACATTGGTAGTGGATGATGTGAACGCATTCTACACTGTCTACACAGTGGTATTGATGAGGTGAACGCATTCTACACATTGGGTAGTGGATAGGAGAACGCATTCTACAATTGGTAAGTGGATGAGGTGAAGCATTCTACACATTGGTAAGTGGATGAGGTGAACGTATTCTACACGTGGTAGTGGCTGGGTGAACGCCATTCTACCATTGGTAGTGGATTAGGTGAACGCATGCACACATGGTAGTGGTGAAGGTGAATGCATTCTACACATTGTAGTGGATTAGGTGAACGCCTTCTACCATTGGTAGTGGATGAGGTGAACGCATTCTACACATTTCTACACATTGGTAGTGGATGAGGTGAATGCATTCTACACATTGGTAGTGGATGAGGTGAACGCATTCTACACATTGGTAGTGGATGAGGTGAACGCATTCTACCCATTGGTAGTGGTGATGTGAACGCATTCTACACATTGGTAGTGGATGAGGTGAACGCATTCTACACATTGGTAGTGGATGAGGTGAACGCATTCTACACATTGGTAGTGGATGAGGTGAACGCATTCTACACATTGGTAGTGGATGAGGTGAACGCATTCTACACATTGGTAGTGGATGAGGTGAACGCATTCTACACATTGGTAGTGGATGAGTGAACGCATTCTACACATTGGTAGTGGATGAGGTGAACGCATTCTACACCTTGGTAGTGGGATGAGGTAACTCATTCTACACATTGGTTGGAATGAGGTGAACGCGTCTACACCATTGGTAGTGGAAGGAGGTGAACGCATTCCTTACACATTGGGTCGTGGATGAGGTGAACGCATTCCACATTGTAGTGGATGAGGTGAATGCTTCACACATGGTAGTGGATGAGGTAACGCATTCCTACACATTGGTAGTGGATGAGGTAACGCATTCTACACATTTCTACAGCATTTGGTGTGATGAGGTGACGCATTCTACACATTGTAGTGGATTGAGGTGAACGCATTCCTACACATTGTAGTGGAATAGGTGAACGCATTCAACACATTGGTAGTGGATGAGGTGAACGCATTCTACACATTGGTAGTGGATGAGGTGAATGCCTTCTACACTTGGTAGTTGATGAGGTGAACCATTCTAACACTTGGTTAGTGTGATGAGGGTGACGCATTCTACCCTTGGTAGTGGTAGGTGAACAGCATTCTACACATTGGTCGTGGATGAGGTGACCATTCTACACATGGAGTGGATGATGTGAACTCCTTCTTACAACATGTAGTGGATGAGGTGAACGCTTCCTACACATTGGTAGTGGATGAGGTGCCGCATTCTGACACATTGTAGTGGATGAGGGTGACCAGTCTACACATTGGAGTGGTGAGGTGAACGCATTTACACATTGGTAGTGGATGAGGTGAATGCATTCTCACATTGGTAGTGGATGAGGTGAACGCATTCCTAACATTGGTAGTGGTGAGGTGAACCCCCCCCCCCAATTCTACACATTGGTAGTGGATGATGTGACGCATCTCCCATTGGTAGTGGATGAGGTTAACGCATTCTACACATTGGGTAGTGGATGAGGGTGAATGCATTCTACACTTGGTAGTGATAGGTGAAACGCTTCTACACATTGGTAGGGATGAGGAAACGCATTCTACACATGGTATGGATGGGGATGCATTCTACACATTGGTAGTGGATGAGGTGAACGCATTCTACACATTGGTAGTGGATGAGGTGAACGCATTCTACACATTGGTAGTGGATGAGGTGAACGCATTCAACACATTGGTAGTGGATGAGGTGAATGCATTCTACACATTGGTAGTGGATGAGGTGAACGCATTCTACACATTGGTAGTGGATGAGGTGAACGCATTCTACACATTTCTACACATTGGTAGTGGATGAGGTGAATGCATTCTACACATTGGTAGTGGATGAGGTGAACGCATTCTACAGCATTGTAGTGGATGAGGTGAAACGCATCTACACATTGGTAGTGTGAGGTGAACGCATTCTACACATTGGTAGTGGATGAGGTGCACGCCTTCCTACACAATTGTTTAGTGGATGAGGTGAACGCATTCTACACATTGGTAGTGGATGAGGTGAACCATTCTACCCATTGTAGTGGATGAGGTGAACGCATTCTACACATGGGTATGTGGGATGAGTGAACGCATTCTACACATTGGTAATGGATGAGGTGCGCATTCTACACATTGGTAGTGGATTAGGTGAACGCATTCTACACATGGTAGTGGATGATGTGCACGCATTCTACAGCATTGGTATGGATGATGTGAACGCATTCTACACATTGGTGTGGATGAGGTGAACGCATTCAACACATTGTAGTGATGAGGTGAATGCATTCTACCATTGGTAGTGGAGAGGTGACGCATTCTACACATTGGTAGTGGAATGAGGTGAACGCATTCTACACATTTCTACACCTTGGTAGTGGATGGGTGAACGCATTCTACACATTGGTAGTGGATTAGGGAACGCATTCTACACATTGGTAGTGGATGAGGTGAACGCATTAAACCATTGGTAGTGGATGAGGTGAACGCATTCTACCCTTGGTAGTGGATGAGTGAATGCCTTCTACACATGGTAGTGGATGAGGTGAACTCATTCTACCATTGGTAGGGGTGAGGTGAACGCATTCTACACATTGGTAGTGTTGAGGTGAACGCATCACAGTCTACACATTGGTAGTGGATGAGGTGAACGCATTCTACATTGGTAGTGGTGAGGTGAACGCCTCTACACATTTGTATTGAATGAGGTGAACGCATGCTACACATTGGTAGTGGATGATTGAACGCATTTACACATTGGTAGTGGATGAGGTGAACGTCATTCTCACACATTGGTAGTGGAATTTGAGGTGACGCATTCTACACATTGGTAAGTGTATGAAGGTGAATGCTTCTAACATTGGTAGTGGTGAGTGAACGCATTCTACCATTGGTATGGATGAGGTGAACGCATTCTACACATTGGTAGTGGATAGGTGAACGCATTCTACACGTGGTAATGGATAGGTGAACGCTTCTTAACACATTGGTAGTGGATGAGGTTAATGCAATTTCTACCATTGGTAGTGGATGAGTGAACGCATTCCTACACATTGGTAGTGGATGAGGAGAACGCATTCTACAACACATGGTAGTGGATGAGGGGAATGCATTCTACCTTGGTAGTGGAATAAGGTGAACGCATTCTACAATTGGTAGTGGATGAGGTGAACGCATTCTACACATTGGTAGGGGATGAGGTGAACGCATTCAACACATTGTAGTGGATGAGGTTGAATGCATTCTACCATTGTAGTGGATGAAGGTGAACGCATTCTACACATGGTACGTGATTAGGTTTGACCGCAGTCTACACATTTCTGACACATGGTAGTGGATGAGGTGAATGCATTCTACCACATTGGTAGTGGATTAGGTGAATCGCATTCTACCATTGTATGGATGAGGTGAACGCTTCTACACTTGGTAGTGGATGAGGGACGCATTCTACACTTGGTAGTGGATGAGGTGAACGATTCAACACATTGGTAGTGGATGAGGTGAACCGCATTCTACACATTGGTAGTGATGAGGTGACGCATTCTACACATTGGTAGTGGATGAGGTGAACCATTCTACAATGGTATGGATGGGTGAACGCATTCACACTTGGTAGTGGATGAGGTAACGCATTCTACACATTGGAGTGGATGAGGTGAACTCATTCTACACATTTGGGTAGTGGATGAGGTGAACGCATTCTACACATTGGTAGTGGATGAGGTGACGCATTCTACACATTGGTAGTGGATGGGTGATACGCATTCAACACATTGGTATTGGATGAGGTGAATGCATTCTACACTTGGTAGTGGATGAGGTGAACGCATTCTACACTTGGTAGTGGTATGCGGTGAACGCATCTACACATTTCTACACCTTGGTAATGGAGAGGTGAACGCATGTCTACCCATTGGTAGTGGATGAAGTTGAACGCATTCTACACATTGGTATGTGATGAGGTGAACGCATAAACACATTGGTAGTGGATGAGTGAACGCATTCTACACATTGGTAGTGGCTGAGGTGAATGCCTCTACACATTGGTATTGGATTAGTGACGCCTTCTACACATTGGTAGTGATGAGGTGAACGCATTCTACACATTGGTAGTGGATGGGTGAACGCATTCTACACATTGGTAGTGGAGAGGTGAACGCATTCACACCTTGGTGTGGATGAGGGTGAACGCAATTCTACACATTGTATTGGATGAGGTGAACGCATTCTACACATTGGTAGATGATGAGGTGAACGCATTCTCACATTGGTAGTGGATGAGGTGAACGCATTCTACCACATTGGGGTAGTGGATGAGGTTAACGGCATTCTACACATTGGTAGTGGATGAGGGAATGCATCTACACATTGGTAGTGGATGAGGTGAACGCATTCTACACATTGGTAGTGGATGAGGTGAACGCATTCTACACATTGGTAGTGGATGAGGTGAACGCATTCTACACATTGGTAGTGGATGAGGTGAACGCATTCAACACATTGGTAGTGGATGACACAATTGGTAGTGGATGAGGGAACGCATTTCTACACATTGGTATGGATGAGGGTACGCATTCTAACCATAGGTAGTGGATGAGGTGAACGCATGCTACACATTGGTAGTGGATGAGGTGAATGCATTCCACCCATTGGTAGTGGATGGAGGTGACGCATTCTCACACATTGGTAGTGGATGAGGTGAACGCATTCTACACATTGTAGTGGATGAGGTGAAACGCATTCTACACATTGGTAGTGGATGAGGTGAACGCATTTCTACATCATTGGTAGTGGATGAGGTGACCGCCTTTCTACACATTGGTTGGATGAGGTGAACGCCTTCTACACATTGGTAGTGGATGGGTGAACCATTCTCACATTGGTAGTGGATGAGGTGAACGCATTCTACACATTGGTAGTGGATGAGGTGAACGCATTCTACACATTGGTAGTGGATGAGGTGAACGCATTCTACACATTGGTAGTGGATGAGGTGAACGCATTCTACACATTGGTAGTGGATGAGGTGAACGGCATGCTACACTTGGTAGTGGATGAGGTAACGCATTCTACACATTGGTAGTGTATGAAGGTGAACGCATTCTACACATTGGTAGTGGATGAGGTGAACGCATTCTACACATTGGTAGTGGATGAGGTGAGTTTCCCCCTTACAGCTTAATGTATTCATGTAATGGTGTAACTCCTGCATTGTAATGTCCCTTGAGAAGACAGAGAGAGTATACTCTAATGGGTTACTCTTCCTTAATTCTCTACCATTCAACATTGTGGGTAATGTGATTGGTAGTGGAGTCGGTGAGTTCCAGTCTAAATGATATAAAGGCCAATGAAAAAGTGTTATATATTTCCATGGGACATGTAGTAGCTGCCTGGTGGGTGAGTGGCTGCTCTGTTCCAGCAGCCGCAATGGGAGAGAGGGGAGGAGGGCGGCTGGGGAGGAGGGCGGCTGGGGAAAGGAGGGCGGCTGGGGAGGAGGGCGGCTGGGAAGGAGGGCGGGTGGGGGAACTGGGCGCCACACAGCCACAAAGAACAGACAGTACTGGACTGAACTTTCTCCCTCTCGTCTCCTCTCTCTCTCTCTCCTCTCTCTCTCTCTCTCTCCTCCTCTCTCCTCTCTCTCTTCTTTTCCCTCTCTCTTCTCTCTCTCCTCTCTCTCCTCCTCCTCTCTCTCCCTTCTCTCCTCTCTCTCGCTCTCTCTCTTCTCTCCTCCCTCTCTCTCTCTCTCTCTCTCTCTCTCTCTCTCTCGTTGTCTGCACAGCCACAGAGTACAGCCAGTACTGGACTGAACAGGCAGGCTTTCCTCCCTCTCCTCTCCCTCCGCTGCCTGCTGCCTGACTGCTGCCTCTGCAGAACCTCACATGGAGAAACATGTGACGCTGCTGTCTCCAACAGAGGAACTGACTGTGCTGCAGACAGGCAGACAGACAGGCAGACAACAGACAGACAGACAGACAGGCAGACAGACAGACAGACAGACAGCCAGACAGACAGACAGACAGACAGGCAGACAGACAGACAGACAGACAGACAGGCAGACAGACAGACAGCAGGATTGCTAATGTGCTCTCCTGAATCAATGGAGAGATTTAAAGAAGATATGCCTAAAACTACCACACAAACAAACATACACATGTACTCTCTCTCTGCACTTAGGGCCTGATTCAGACTTGAGATAAGTTGACTTAACATGGACTTAAGTCAAAAATGTGGACTGAAGTCCATTCTAAGTCTACTTCTCAAGTCTGAATCGAGCCCTTAGTAAAGGTTGATGTTAAGTAGAATAGGTCACAGCTGCAACTGTGGCTATGTATCAACAACAATAGGTTCATTGTTCAAAGAGAAAGTTACTTTTGAATGCAGCACTCATACCATACCAACTCAACAGTTGGTTGGAGAGGAGAGGAGGGGAGAGGAGAGGAGGAGAGGAGGGGAGGGGAGAGGAGAGGAGAGGAGAGGAGAGGAGAGGAGAGGAGAGGAGAGGAGAGGAGATGAGAAGGATAGGGGACAGGTGATTGCATAACCTAGTTTACTCTACAGAGCTGCAGATTGACTTGATGTTGACTTGACTTCAGTTCCAGCCTGCACTGTATTGTGGTGACTATAGGCTAATAGTGGACTAGTGTTTGGAATGATAATTTACAGCAATATCAGTTCATCTTTAGTGTCCCCTCACTGGACAATTCGTTCGATATACACTATAACAAGGATCATCAACTAGATTCAGCCGCGTGACAATTATTTCTTGAACGGATGGTCAGGGGACTGGAACATAATTACAAATCATTTGTAGACTGCAAATTGACCGCAAGGCCAAACGATAAGCAGTGTTCACCCGGGTTACTGGTCAGTCAGCTTCAATGTTTTGATCAAATGGTTCACCTGGATTCACCCGTCAGTCTATGTCATTCAATGTTTTGTGCACTCAGTGTATATCTCTTTATTATGCGTGGGAATACTTGGGAACAGATTTCCAAATTCGTCCCGCAGGCCGCCAGTTGGGGAACTCTGCACTATACACTATACACTACACACTATACACTACATACTATACACTATACACTATACACTATACACTGATACAGTATAAACTACACACTACACACTACACACTATACACTATACACTATACACTATAAACTACACACTATACACTACACTATAAACTACACACTATACACTACACTATACACTATACACTACACACTACACACTATACACTACACACTATACACTATACACTACACACTATACACTATACACTATACACTATACACTGATACAGTATAAACTACACACTACACACTATACACTATACACTACATATACACTACACACTATACACTATACACTACATATACACTACACACTATACACTACACACTACACACTATACACTATACACTACACACTATACACTATAAACTACACACTATACACTACACACTATACACTATACTATACACTATAAACTACACACTCTACACTATACACTATAAACTACACACTATACACTATACTATACACTATAAACTACACACTCTACACTATACTATACACTATAAACTACACACTACACTATACACTATACACTATAAACTACACTCTACACTATACACTATAAACTACACACTATACACTATACTATACACTATAAACTACACACTCTACACTATACTATACACTATAAACTACACACTACACTATACACTATACACTATAAACTACACACTATACTATACACTATAAACTACACACTATACACTATAAACTACACACTATACACTATAAACTACACACTATACACTATACACTATAAACTACACACTACACACTCTACACCCAGTGGTGACCCGCCTTTCGGTATATCTACCGTAGCTTTGATTGGACTGATCTTGTCAACATCATACTTTCAAAATCTTAGCTAGCAAGCTAGACAAGCAGTCATCATGAATCAAGTCGACAATCTACTGGCAAATCCTTTTCAATCCTTGTCATATGAAGAGAAATTATTGATAAAACATATCGGTGCTCATCGGCCGTTGGACATAAACATTACACAACAAGTTGGAAATCGCAAATTCAACAATGAGTGGTTTGGAAGGAATCAGTGGCTAATTGCAAGCATTGCAAAGCAATCACTAGCCTGCTATCCAGTGGAGAGGGTGTGTGGTCCAAGTCTGGGTTTAAGGGTCTCTTTTCCAAGCTTAAAAGGATAAACATTCACTCGCAACACACCAGGGGCCAGAAAAGGTTGAATACATTGGCCATGCTGTCAATCTAGCATGACTTCTGCCGCTTTCAAAACAACTGGAAACTGGGAAATCTCAGTGAGTTCAAGACAACTGGGAAGTCAGAAAAAAACTAGCTTGGACTGGGAAAATACATTTTGAACGGTCATCCAACTTCGAATTCCAAGTCTGGAACTCTGGCCTCTTTCTAGAGCTCTGACCTGAAGATCATTGACGTCATGATTCAACCTTGGTTTTTTTTTCAGAGTTTCCAGTTGTCTTGAAAGCACCATAAATCCAGAGAATTACAGACTTTGATGACAACATTTTCCCACAAGAAGGATCGCCGCGCCACCTTCCTGTTCAAGTGAGCACAGCACAACAAGGTTGTATTGTGTGCTGCTGCATAAATGATGTAATATGCCAGGGAGATATGTATACTGTAGCTAAGAAAGTAATACTAAGTGTATGTTGTGTAGTAAGCTGTTAGTAGCCCATGTGCCTCACCCTAATAATTTGGTCCTTTTCCCCCCTCATAATTTAGCCTACTGTTCTGACTTGGTGGTGCACATGTAGCCTATAGCCTGTTTTAGAGAAATGTAATCATTGAATATTGTAAGAGCTTTCATTGTCTGCTTTTATGCCCCCTTTATTTGTCCTACGGTTCTGACTTTGGTGTACAGGGAGAACACTGTAAGAACGGCCCGTGTTCTGAATTCTGTCGCTGTACATTTCAAAAGTGCTGAACAAATAGTTATATTGACTACGTCCATTCTAGCTCACTCATTAATGTCTTAATCGAAATTACAGATTGCCTCTTATCTGCTCATCGTTCCCTTATGCAATAGTTTGTACATCTCAAGTGTCTGTAGAAACCACATTTGTTAAAGCAAGTCAGCCATATCAGCAATGTTTTTTAAAAAGGCAGTAAATGAGGCTGAATGAATTGTTTTCGCTGCCAGACAAGGCTCCGCTGATAGCCAGGTGTAGCGGTGGTAAGGATTCACTCCATGGTGCTGAAAAAGAAAGCTCTGCTGTTGGGACAGCTTTATGGAGGCCCTGACAGTTTGTGGGCACCGTTTGTCACCATTTTAGACAATTAAGGTATTGTTTAGTGTTGTGTAGTAGCTTTGCTGGCATGCATAAAAATAAAATTGGGAGAGTTTGACCCACCAACATTTACATGCTAAAATCACCACTGTATACACTATACACTATACACTATACACTACAACCTACACTATACACTACAATTAAGGCCAGGAGGTTTTTCCTCACCAGGAGAAACTCTTGACCCAGATCTAGTTGGGACCCTATTAGTGAACACAACCCTGCTCTAATAAACCAATGATCTCAAGACTACTGTAGGCCCCATTTGATCTTACCAGTGGAGTGGGTCATCAGTTGAGAAAGGGGGTAGCTGCAGCACAATATGGCGACCGGAGTATGGGCGAGTGGGTGTGTCGAAAGGAAAGTAGTGGGCGTGTAGAAAGGAGTGGGTGTGTCGAAAGGAATGTAGTGGCCTTGTAGAAAGGAGTGGGTGTGTCAAAATGAATGTAGTGGGCGTGTAGAAAAGGAGTGGGTGTGTCGAAAGGAATGTAGTGGGCGTGTAGAAAGGAGTGGGTGTGTCGAAAGGAATGTAGTGGGCGTGTGGAAAGGAGTGGGTGTGTCGAAAGGAAAGTAGTGGGCGTGTAGAAAGGAGTGGGTGTGTCGAAAGGAATGTAGTGGGCGTGTAGAAAAGGAGTGGGTGTGTCGAAAGGAATGTAGTGGGCGTATAGAAAAGGAGTGGGTGTGTCGAAAGGAATGTAGTGGGCGTGTAGAAAGGAGTGGGTGTGTCGAAAGGAAAGTAGTGGGCGTGTAGAAAGGAGTGGGTGTGTCGAAAGGAATGTAGTGGCCGTGTAGAAAAGGAGTGGGTGTGTCGAAAGGAAAGTAGTGGCCGTGTAGAAAGGGAGTGGGTGTGTCGAAAGGAAAGTAGTGGGCGTGTAGAAAAGGAGTGGGTGTGTCGAAAGGAATGTAGTGGGCGTGTAGAAAGGAGTGGGTGTGTCGAAAGGAATGTAGTGGGCGTGTAGAAAAGGAGTGGGTGTGTCGAAAGGAATGTAGTGGGCGTGTAGAAAGGAGTGGGTGTGTCAAAAGGAATGTAGTGGGCGTGTAGAAAAGGAGTGGGTGTGTCGAAAGGAAAGTAGTGGGCGTGTAGAAAGGAGTGGGTGTGTCAAAAGGAATGTAGTGGGCGTGTATAAAAGGAGTGGGTGTGTCGAAAGGAATATAGTGGGCGTGTAGAAAAGGAGTGGGTGTGTCGAAAGGAATGTAGTGGGCGTGTAGAAAGGAGTGGGTGTGTCAAAAGGAATGTAGTGGGCGTGTAGAAAAGGAGTGGGTGTGTCGAAAGGAAAGTAGTGGGCGTGTAGAAAAGGAGTGGGTGTGTCGAAAGGAAAGTAGTGGGCGTGTAGAAAAGGAGTGGGTGTGTCGAAAGGAAAGTAGTGGGCGTGTAGAAAAGGAGTGGGTGTGTCGAAAGGAAAGTAGTGGGCGTGTAGAAAAGGAGTGGGTGTGTCGAAAGGAAAGTAGTGGACGTGTAGAAAAGGAGTGGGTGTGTCAAAAGCGCTCTGCTATAGGTTAGACCAGGGGTGTCAAACTCATTTTAGCTCAGGGGCCACATGGAGGAAAATCTATTCCCAAGTGGGCCGGACCGGAAAAATCATGCTATATATAACTTAAAAACAACAACTTCAGATTGTTTTCTTTGTTTTAATACGATCAACATACAACATAAAGCTGGAGCCTGAGGACAGTGTGTCCAAAATAGTACAAGCACAACATCACTATTAATCATAAAACACGTCAAGTTTATTTGAAAATTCTAAAGAAAAAGAACACACAAACACACAATGCCTCAGTGATTAACAGAACTGTTTCACAGATCACAGAACTATATCAGGGTGTCATTTCTCAGGCAGAAATGTAGATAAAAATAATGAAATCCTGTTCCCCAAACAAGTGCAAGAACCACAGAGTCAAGAATAGGTTAAATATACAAATAAAATAAAATCAATTATAAACAATAGCACATCAACATAAAAACATATAAACATAAAGCTGGAGCCTGAGGACAGTGTCCAAAAGCACAACATCACTATTAATCATAAAACACCTCAAGTTATTTGAAAGTTCTGAGGACAAAGAACACACAAACACACAATGCCTCAGTGATTAACAGAACTGTTTCACAGATCACAGAACTATATCAGGGTGTCATTTCTCAGGCAGAAATGTAGATAAAAATAATGAAATCCTGTTCCCCAAACAAGTGCAAGAACCACAGAGTCAAGAATAGGTTAAATATACAAATAAAATCAATTAAAAACAATAGCACATCAACATAAAAACATATAAACATAAAGCTGGAGCCTGAGGACAGTGTCCAAAAGCACAACATCACTATTAATCATAAAACACCTCAAGTTATTTGAAAGTTCTGAGGACAAAGAACACACAAACACACAATGCCTCAGTGATTCACAGAAGTATATCACAGATCACAGAACTATATCAGGGTGTCATTTCTCAGGCAGAAATGTAGATAAAAATAATGAAATCCTGTTCCCCAAACAAGTGCAAGAACCACAGAGTCAAGAATAGGTTAAATATACAAATAAAATAAAAACAATTAAAAACAATAGCACATCAACATAAAAACATATAAACATAAAGCTGGAGCCTGAGGACAGTGTCCAAAAGCACAACATCACTATTAATCATAAAACACCTCAAGTTATTTGAAAGTTCTGAGGACAAAGAACACACAAACACACAATGCCTCAGTGATTCACAGAAGTATATCACAGATCACAGAACTATATCAGGGTGTCATTTCTCAGGCAGAAATGTAGATAAAAATAATGAAATCCTGTTCCCCAAACAAGTGCAAGAACCACAGAGTCAAGAATAGGTTAAATATACAAATAAAATAAAATCAATTAAAAACAATAGCACATCAACATAAAAACATATAAACATAAATCTGAAAGCGTTGCTCAAACTCCCGTAACAGTCCCGTTATTTTATCTTTGAACCGCTTCATGTCTGCCACATGTTGGGTCGCGCACACATTTTTCAGACAGGGGAAGTGAGCTGCATCACCACCGGCAAGTTGCGTCTCCCACAATGACAGCTTCAACTTGAAAGAACGTATGCTGTCATAATACTGCGTGACAACTTTGTTGCGCCCTTGCAGCTGTTTGTTCAAGTTATTCAGGTGCTCTGTAACATCCACCATAAATGCAAGGTCCTGCATCCATTCTGCGGAATGAAATTCTAACACTGGTTTGCCCCTTTCTTCCATGAACTGTTCAATTTCTTCTCGTAAATCAAAGAAACGCCTCAGCACAGCACCTCGGCTTAACCATCTTACCTCAGTGTGGTATGGCAGGCCATAGATGTGGTCTTTCTCTCTGAGAAGGCTGTCAAACTGACGGTGATTCAGGCTTCTGGATCGGATGAAATTAACAGTTTGGATGACCACCTTCATGACGTTATCCATCTTTAATGACTTGCAACACAAAGCCTCCTGGTGCAAAATACAGTGAAAAGTCAAAAAATCACGTCCTCCATTTGCAGATTGCACTTTCTCTCTGAACTTTGTCACAACGCCTGCTTTCTTCCCGATCATTGAGGGCGCAACATCTGTAGCCAGGCTGACAGCGCGGGACCAGTCCACTCCGACCCTGTCCAGCGCGCCGACGAGTGCGGTAAAAATATCAGCTGCTGTCGTTGTATCTGTCATTGGCACCAACTCCACGAACTCCTCGGTGACGGTCAATGTGTCATCAACTCCGCGGATGAAAATGGCCAGTTGTGCAACATCTGTAATGTCCGTGCTTTCATCAATTGCAACCGAAAACGCAATAAATGACTTTACTTTTTGCTTCAACTGGCTGTCCAAATCCACTGAAAGATCGGAAATCCTGTCTGCAACTGTGTTTCTTGTCAGGCTGATATTTGCAAAAGCCTGCCGCTTTTCAGGGCACACAATCTCCGCTGCCTTCATCATGCATGTTTTTACAAATTCACCCTCACTAAATGGTTTTGAAGCCACTGCGATTTCATTAGCAATGAGGTAGCTAGCTTTCACTGCAGCGTCACTGATGTCTCGGCTGTGAGTAAACACAGACTGCTGTTTCTTCAGACCCGCCAACAGTTCATTCACCTTCTCTCATCTCCGCTGTCCTTGAAAGTTGTCATATTTGTCGGCATGAAGACTCACATAGTGGCGACGAAGGTTATATTCTTTCAGCACTGCAACATGCTCTGAACACACCAAACATACAGCTTTCCCATTCAATTCCGTGAATAAATAGGATGACCATTTTTCTTGGAACACTCTGCACTCTGCGTCCACTTTTCTCTTTTTTGACAGAGACATATTGGGGCAATGAGGGTGCCAAAGCACATAATGTTAAAAGTAGAAGCCGTAATAAATATCGCGGGCAAAACAAAGTAGCTCATTGGCTGCACGTGCTTGACCTACTTGCTCTGCCCCGGTATAAACAGTTTGCTTGCTTAACACAATTGCTATTGCGCCATCCAGTGGACGCAATTGGAACAGCAGTTTATTTTATTGAAAAATTGCAGCGCATTTTTATACTTTACAAAAATATATATTATTATTATTATTATTATTTATTTATTTTTTTACATCATCTCGCGGGCCGGATTAAACCCGTTTGCGGGCCTGATCCGGCCCGCGGGCCGGACGTTTGACACCCCTGGGTTAGACTGTTTTGATTGAGCTGTGTTTTTGTTTTCCAGTTCCTTTCCACTTCTATTATGAAGCCAGTGTCTGAGTCGTATTTCCCTGTTAGTTTTACACAAATAATTAAACATTTTCAGTTATAAAACTGACAATATTTTTATTTTTATTTTTTATTAAACGAACTGTTGATGGGTGTACTGTTGCTTCATGCGTTGTATCCGTGTCTGACTGTGACTGTCGCCCTGATACAGACTACTAGGTAGATTCTTCCCACGCCGCTGCGGGACAGTAAACTTGGCAAGTGGGAGCAAAGGACACTGTGTCCCAGTGTTGCTGCCATTCACCCCCTGCCCATTGAGTAGACTGTATACGTATCAAGGTCTAGATGGTTATCAAAATTAGTTATTTATCGTGTAGGTTGCTGTCCTGGGAGGGAAAATAACGGACACATTAGCGACTGCTGGCGACACGACAATGATACAGCTGCCGGTCGGTTTTATTGACTTGTCATGCAGCCCAATCAGCCGTGCAAAATGTCTTGAGTGGCAACAAATCTGCT